TTTAGCATCAGCCCGCCGAGTCTGGAAAGCTCATATTTCAGAAAAGTACTACTTGTATCTTTTGGCCTCAAAAATTTTCTTTTAGGTTGCCCGTAGTTTTGAAAACAGATTTTGAAAGAAGAGATAACGCTCTTTAATGTGGTATAAGACTCGTTACTGAAATCGAGGTACCAGTCGACGATTTTGGGCTTTGAAATTTGCCATTTTTTCATTGAACGAAAACGTTCAAAATATTGAAAATAATGAAAAATCTCCAAAATATTACATTTTCGTTCAAACTGAGTCACCACTTAAAATGTGTGCAATTATGTACTCTCCTGAATAAGTTACTTGTTGTCCGCATTACAATGGATTTGAATTTTAAAACGATTTTTTTGTGACACATGGTCTAGGGCCTGGAAACCCCGGTCCGAGAGCCGCGAAACCAATAACCCCCCCCGCACGTGGAAAATAATTATTGGATCGAAGTAATAGCTTACCTAGTGCTACTTTGTGAATTTTCTTGAGAATTTTCGATTTTTCACTTTTGTAGACCTCTGGTCGATATTTACTGACATCCGCTCTTAAAAAGGCTACAGTTAAAGCCACCTGTACAAAACAATCTAGTTTTGTCTGGGCAAGAACATCTTCAAACTTCAGTCTGTCAAGCCAAAAACGTGGATAACAATAACAAAACATTTACATTTAATTTAGGTTTACTTGAGGGTAGAAAAATGTTGATTATGAGTTTAAAACAAAAGAAAATAAAATTTAAACCAAGGATGCAACTGAGCCTTTCTTACAAAATGCAACTAACAAGCTTAGTCATACCAAGTTCACAGAGGGTGGCAACACAAGCTCTTCGAAGTCTATCTGCATCATCACCTTCGTCATTACCGACAGACACAAGAGCAGCAGCCATTGACATTGGAAACAGCTCAGGACTAACAGCAATAACCTATTTACAAGAAAAAGAGAATCACATCGACAAACAAAGTTAGCTTTTGACAAGGAAATCTACCATAATTATATGTATCTACAGACCACTCTCTCTAAAAGACGGAAACCTTTGGGGCCAGTACTAAAAGGTAATAGGTAAAGGTAAAGCAACATTATTTTACGTGCTGTAACTTGTGGCATTAATAATAACTGATAAACTTGAGGTCAACAGTGAAAACATTTTACCCCCTTCTCTCCATCAATGCTCTGTTTTAAGGGTATTTACAGCTAGTCAAAGCTACACAGAAAGGAGAGAAGTTGAAACAAGGATGTGATGTCACCAGGGATTGAACTAAGGGACCTCGTGCACAGAAGGCCACGCACTAACCAACTGTGCCACCCTTGCACTAAGCGTCTGTCTAAGAGTGATGTCCATCTTATGGAAAGTCAAACAAAAGGAGTAAAGAAATGCAGGAACCAAGTCTTGGTATCCTTGGTGTCTGTCTTATAGCAGTGTCTGTTTAGAGAGAGCTGACTATACTTTCCTACTCTGAAAACAACATCTGTGATTGTACATGTAGCTTAAACTCAAGCACAGATCACCCAAAATCTCTATTAAATGATCGTGCAAAAACAGACTCCAACACGGAATAATCAAGAAGAAACAGAGGCCGAAACAAAAAAATATACATATGGGTCTACATAGGGAAAACTTTGGGGTGCATATAAGGATATTACAGTCCGCTCTCTCTTAACAGACACCTCTATAAGACGGAAACATCTGTAAAACAAACACCTAGAGTTGGTCCCTGCCTTTGTTTATTCCCTTTATATGACTCTTTATAAGACGGACATCTCTCTAAGACAGACACTTAGTGCCGGTCCCAAAGGTGTCCGTCTTGGAGAGAGTTGACTGTACTCAAAAATGAACACTACTTGGTCATAAAACATTATTTTTCAGCCACTCACGTGACTGTGTCTAAACTCTTTAAAAAATAAATGCGGTTAGAGGGTAAAGTTCAAGTAAAATTTTCTAAGTAAATTTTTCAAAAAGAAAAAAAATGGATTTTAAAATATGACTCATTATTCTCAAGAAAAGCAATGGTTACAGACCTTTCTTATGAGCCTCAAGGCCTGAACACGCTCCACCTCAAAAGCACTATGTACCATATCCATTGACCTAAATTAAAAGCCAAGAAATAAGGTCACGAAAACTCTGTATGTGCACTATAAACTCTTAGTAATGAGGTCAACACCTCCTCAAGACAGAAAATATTTCTGGCAAAAAAGTGTAATGATTTTCAGCAGCACAACAAGTAAAATAGGTCAAGGGGTACAGGGAGGCTAGGTAGGTACCCCCTTGACGTGTGTCACAAGAAGCAGAAGATTACCCCCCCCCCAACCCCTCCCTTCTACAAATGCATATGAGACCAGTTATATTATACCCCAATGCAAGTCATTTTCTAGACATGGGTGATGAAGAGTTCTAGCCTGTGAGCAAGCTCTCCCAAGGGGAAGGGGATGGGGGAAGCTCTCCTTTCCCTTACCCACCCCTGTACCTTTGGGAGAGCTTGCTTATAGGCTAGATGAGATCTAGAGAAAAGATGAAGTTGCAATTTAATGCAAGTTGCAATACAACCTAAAACAACGATTTTGAGTAAATATGTTTATTACCTAACAACAAATATGTCAATCCTGAAGTCTAGCATTTTGGAGAGAGTTTTGCTATCGGAAAACAGATGACGGAAGGCTCGTAAACCTGCGGCTCTGACTTCTTTGGCAGTCGAAACAAGGGGCAGCATAAGGCTACAAAAAGAAAAAGAAGCCACTTATTAATATCCAAGCTGTTGTCAGTGATTGAGCAGTGCTGTCATATATCATGTCTCTTCTTTGCTCGTGGGAGTTGTCTAAATACAGTATGTCAACTGATCATGATACATACCATTTGATGATATCTTCCAGAGAGTATCCCAAATTTGCATTCTCACCAACACTTTGAATTAACTGTTGATTAAATTGAGAAATGAAATTATTGCACTTTTCTTTACATATCAAACTCTGGTTAAGTCCGTCTGCAAAAAAGCATCCCCACTTGTGTACAAGGATTTTGAGTACATGCCTCGATTGGCCTGATAAAAGTCATTGTTAATTTGCCAATCAAGATGAAAGGAAATTCGAAACAAACTTCTGGTAATTTATAAAGTCCATTGGGGCCCAGGACAAGGATATCACTACTGCTTTCCAACCGTTACTAACCAAGGTTAAATTACATTTGCAATGCAGGCTAGAGAAAAAGGTGCTAAAGGAAAGCATCCTGATGATTGTTCTTCAAAAGTTTGCCAGTTTGTAATAATAAATGCAGACTAGCAAACATTGACAGGTTTTTACATGTACTGTACATTACCTTTGTAAAATTGTTGACATATCCCATTTGTTTGGCAGTTGACATTTCCTTGCTGGTGATTTGATTCAAGAGATCTTTCATGTTGTCAACAGGATCTACAAACAGAGAATTATGCATGGCGGTGAGTATTACACAAAACCAAGCCAGGTCTAACAATGAAACACAGAGGACACCATGAATGGACGGTATATATAAAGTCCAAGCAGAAACCAAAAGAATACAGCATTGAGCATGTAGTCTTGAAAATGACAGCCAGTGGCAATGTTCCAGGTCAAAATTATATTCAGGTTAAAAAAATTTAAGCTGAATTTAATTTTAACCCGTAACAGCAACAACTAGCATATTGGCACCCAAAGTGAAAGTACTGGTGAATAGACCCATCTACCTGATTCTCTTTAGTTAAGTTGGACTTAGGTTCAACAGATGTAGAAGGGACATAACGAAGCAAATGTTGAACCTTTTAAATAGCCCCCAAAAGGTAAAAACTAGGTTTTAGCTCATAATTAATGACTTATTTGCATATAAGCTAAACTCTTGAATGAATTAACTGAAATTGATTCTGTGACAATATCATTACATCAAAGTAATACAAGAATAAATAAATTATAGTTCTCCTGCCTGCAGAAGTTTGGAATTAGGTGCAGTCAAGCAAAAGCACGAAACATAGAATACTCAACTTCCTCTTATTTGTTTATATTTCAATGAAAAATTTTCCACGTGACAAGATTTTCACACTAGAATCACACGTGCACAATAATATAACCGCCAGTCAATCAACAACATTGAGAAACGTTTTTCTCAGTTTCTGACACTCTAAGCAGCTGAAAACGCTGAATGATAACGCTTTTGCTCTTTTTAAAATTATTAGCCGTCATTACAAATTCTGCGATTTTTTTCCACTACGAAAATTTTTCATGAGGCGGGAGTTTGTAATGTCAACAAGCCTGACGACAAACCGGGTAGCAAAGAATTTTTCGCTGCATTGACACTGTTATAAATAGTACAGTCACGAACTTATTTAATATTCTTATTCAAGAGACGTCTATTATTATCATAAAAATAACTATAATACGCTTAAGCTGAATAATATTTCAATTATAAGTGCCCTGCATCTTGAGTAAATGATCAACCATTCTCGAACATGCATACCAATGTGTAATACGACTAGTCATTTTCACAAATCGTCTGCAAAAATGTCCTCGAGAAAGACTTGGTGTTGTGTTCTTACAAAACATTGTTCATTTAACATAGGCATGAAATGATGTAAAAGTGCAGGAAGAACGTTCCGAAACTTTAAGCCTACCTCGGCTGAGATCCAGAGGAGCTGGCTCGTCGAAATTGTCATATCTCCCCCCTGAAAAAAAGCGCATCAAATCAATTTGTGATATAAATAACTGATTAGACTTGAGCCTAATAAACCTACCTGGGCCGGAAAAATTCCGCCTCATGACGAATCGAAATTTGCAGTGAAATATTCACTGCCCACACCTCTCCCAACTCTCCAAGTTTTTCCGATCGTTTTTTTTACGACGCATGAGCGGGTACAAGACGCCCGCTTTCAAACAGCGGCTGCTACCAATCATGATGCGAACGTAACTCAAAATCCCACAAAATTTACACGACGATTGGTTTTAGATCTGTGAAATTTCAGCAAACTTGATCCAGATTTCGTTTCACTATGGATCCTATGGAAGAAAACATTTTCCTCGAGGAACATATGAAATTAACGTTCAGTATTATGAATGATCTGCGGAAAAGGAAAGAATTGTGTGACGTAGTACTTTGCGTTGGACAGCGAGAAATCAATGCGCACAAAGTTGTTCTGGCATCGTTTAGTCCTTATTTTTACGCAATGTTTACAAATGACGTTATTGAAAGCCGTCAAAGCAGGATAACGTTGAAGTCCATGGATCCAAGAAGTGTGGAACTGCTAATCGAGTTCGCATACACCGCTCAAATTAGAATAACTGAAGAAAATGTACAAAACTTGCTTCCCGTGGCCTGTATTTTGCAGATCTCGCCTGTGAAGAAAGCGTGTTGTGACTTTTTGCAGGCGGAACTAGATCCTTCTAACTGTATTGGTATAAAAGATTATGCAGAGATTTATGGTTGTGCCGATCTGGCGAAAGCTGCGGAGAAGTTTATTTTTCGTCACTTTCTAGAAGTGTCTGAGAGCGAGGAATTTGAGATCTTGAACCAGGAGCGGTTGATTGATTTAATTAGTCGTGATGAACTTTTTGTCAAGTCAGAAGATGAGGTGAGGTGTTACTGATAGTCTGTACCACAGATGAAACTAAACCACTGGGTTAGTTCATCTGCGAGCTGGCGCCGAAATCCTTGTTCTGAGCCCTTGATTGTGTACCAGGAATTGAGTATGCGCCATGGTTGGCCAGGTAAAGCAGTTATTGTTTGAATGGCCAATCAGGTTGAAGGGAGGTTCAAAATGCACTTCCCATATCACATACTCCTTGAGTCTGTTGGCGGCCCAGAACAAGAATCTAGCTGCTGCTCCACAGACATTACTAGCTGGGGTTAAGATATTATGTGTCTGCAATGCAGGCTAAGGATAGGGGGACTTCCCACCATCCTCCTCATAATTTTAGGAGGAGACGGTACTTAAGTAACTGACTTATACTGGAATGCAGGAACATGATTTGGGTTTTGACCTCATTTCTGTCCTGAAATGGTTGGGGGGGGGGGCGGGGGAGGATTTTGCATTGATTTTGTCTTAAGGTAGGGTGAAGTCTGTGTTCATGCCAAGACTGACCCATCAGGCCAGAGCTTTTCCCAATTCTGTGAGCATCAAGGGATTAGGAATATTTCTACCAGGGCGGATAAAGGTTGGGCGGTGAAACGAGCGCTCCGCTCTTCATTTAATGTGTGATGCGGAGTAGGACTGGCACAAGCGCTCTTTCCGCGCTTCCGGTGCGCTTGAAGGCCGGCGAAATTTTCCTTTTTGCAAACCGGAAATCCTATTTTCTTTCTGTAATTTCAGGCTACATTGTTAAATAGATAAATTCGTTTCATAACAATATCAATAAACAGTTTCATATGTTTGTGTCTGTACGTCTATAAGTCAAACTTGTTGGTCGTATAATGCCAAAATTTGAGTTTAATTTGAAAGTGTTGAATACCTCCTCCTTCCACTAAATATCACCTAATCGTCTTTCGCCGTTTCGTTTGCAAAAGCTTAACACTTCTTAACCTCAATTTTTACATATGTTAAAGGGGGATAAATTTTATATAACATAACAAAAAATTAGATTGATATATATTGATATAGTGGCGTTGTACTTCTTCAAACTTTGCTTCTCGGGTGCAACGCGCCATGGCGATTCGCGCAATGCGTTGCAAATCCGGCAACCGCATGTAAACAAAATTTATTGAGGTTAGTTGTAAGGTTTTTTCTCCGTTTTTCTCTCTAAAACAAAACAAGGTAAACAGTAAAAACTGAGGGGAAACTAATTTTGAAGTTTCGAAGAAACAGAAAGACGTATGAGATGTTTTTTTCAAAATTAAAAAGAAGGATGATGGTGATTGAAATTAGCATAATTTCACCTTGCACGAGCTGCACGCATTTATAAAATACACGTCATCTAGTTATGAATCACGATCTGTTGTCTTTTAGTTTTGCCATGGATGACATGGATGAGATTTTCCTTCGTGTTTTAGAAAATACCTAGTTGCTTTTGTTTTGGAATAACATCGACATTGGCGAGTAGCAAAACGAAAATATAATTCAGTTGTTGAGTCATGGAAGTAATAAAGAAACCCTTTGAAAGAGATGTTTGTCTACTCCAACTAAACCTCCCGCAAAAAATTGCAACATTTGCCTCTCGGAGACAGCGTACCAGCACAAAGGAACGAGGAAGAAGTGCAAGAAAACAAATCAAGCCGCCATAATTCAGTGACAGCGGCAGTGCCTAATGGACAAACCACATCACAAGCCCTGACCGAAGTCGAAAACAAGGGACATTTCTAAGCAGAGTCCCAGTCCACTGCATCACACCTTTTTGCTCGGACGCGCTCGTTTCACCGCCCAACCTTTATCCGCCCTGATTTCTACCCCCCTGGATGGTATTTATCAAGAGATCATTCCATTCAGCTAAAATTGCACATTTGCAGTAAGAGGGAAAGAAGAAGCTTTAAATCCCTGGGCATTGCCCACTTCTCTATTAGTCACTGCTTTCATACCTGCATGTTTCTCACATTCCACTTCCCTATTCTGAGTCATAGTACTATAAGAGATTTAACATTACAGCTTTGATTTTCATATATTGTACATTATTGTCTACAACTTTCAGGTTTTGGCAGCCCTGTTGAGGTGGGTGACATATGATTTAAAAGAAAGAACAAGAGAACTAAAGCATCTTCTGAGTTACATACGAGTACCATTCGTGTCCAGTTCATATCTCAAGTCATTGATCCAGTGTTGTGAAGAAGGACTAAGGTCTGAGTTCAAAGACACACTGATTGAAGCCTTTTCGGTAAGTTAGCTGACTGTATGCTATACCAAAAGCTTATGCAAAGTTTGTGCCGTAAACCTCAAATGTCCAGTTATAATATAACAGTCTAAGGAAAATTGGAAGGAGCTCAGTGCTCTGAATCTGCAAAATCTAGGGTGCCCAGCAAGTAATTTGTATCAAAAAACCAAGAGAGTTAAAGTTGGGCGCCAGGGGACACAGGGTTCTGCTATTAAATAGTCAAGAATACTTTTGACCAATTCTTTTTTTGGCCCTCCCAGCCCCCATTATTAACCCAACCTTCCCCCGCCCCCCCCCCCTTCTAACCAGGTCTAGAAATAATTTTTACCATGGTCTTACGTTGATCTGAGCACAGTGAAAAAAAACCAAGCCGATTAAAAGTGGGCCCCAGGGGCCACAGGGTTCTTCTATTAAATAATCAAGGATACTTTTCACCAATTCTTTTTTTGGCCCCCCCAACCCCCATTATTAACCCAACCCTCCCCCGCCCCCCCCCCCCCTTCTAACCAGGTCTAGAAATAATTTTTACCATGGTCTTACGTTGATCTGAGCACAGTGATTTTGTTACCTCTGCATCCTGCGTCCCTGACGCATAAAAATACCCAAAGATGTAAAATAATTTTTGGCATGCGTCCCGCACAGCGTAAAGATTGATTGATCAATTCGAAGATGATTTTTTGTAGAATATCCTGTTTGTGTGATTTCTGTGGCTGTTTTTGTGGCTACTGTTAAACTAGGCTTATTTCTTTTAGTCTTTGTTGTGCGTTACAATAGAAGGAGTGTATTTTTATTGCAGTAAACTGTAATACAGAGTTTTGGAGTCTGCCCTTCAGAGTAACTGTGTGGTTACAGATAGCCTGCAGTGCAGGCAATTTCATCGGGCACCCGTGAATGGTTTTAATCGTAAAAGCGCCATGTTGAAACTCCCGAAGAGAGGAGGAAATGGGGCGAGTCAAGGGGAGGGGGGAGGAGGCGGGGAGAAAGAAGAGTATTTTTTTCTTCCCTCCCCCTCTCCTTTTTTCGCCCTCACACCTACGCTAAGGGTTACTATTTCTACTCTCCCCAATCTTCCTCTGTCATAAAATCAAAGATGGCGGCTTCATCGATCCAATTAACAAGCTTTCGCCCACTCAAAATACGCCTGCACTGCAGGCTAGGTTACAGAAGACCCAGGGACTCATTGTTTTTTGAACTAGGTCTCAATGGTTCTGGACTGGTACTCATGTTTTTTCACAAGATGATTCCTAGGACTCGCCATAACGATTTGTAACAAAATCACTGGGCGCATCATCATAGCATAATCTTTTGCAGAACCTTATTATAAAGAACTTTGAGATGAAAAAATGTTTCTTACATTTGCCAGGTCTCTAGGAGACTTTCAGATAATTCAGGAGAACTGGCATAAATAATAAACTGCTTTGTATTAAAAAGAGGACCAATGACAATATTTTTTCAACAGGACTCAAAGAGGATTTCTTCAATTTGTACAAGCCATAAAAGACGTCCCCCAGGACCAACTGTCATGTTCTTTGCCGGTGGATATCTGCGGAGATCTCTTGACGTTCTAGAGTGTTTTGATCCCCTTTCTCTCACATGGACAACACTTTCTCCTCTCTCACTTCCGAAGAGTGGATTAGGAGCTGCTTACATTGGTAAGGCTAATATCCTGGAGGAGGGTCTGCCTTGAGGTCCAACCTCTTACACATTTATACACCATTTTTTTAGAAAAGGTAACCGTTTTGCATACCAGTGATTTTGTCAGAAATAGTTATGATGAGTAATGGAACTCATCTTGTGAAAAATCATGACTACCAGTCCAGAACCAACGAGTCCCAGTTAAAAAAAAAAAAATTCCGAATTTGAAAATGCTTGCGCCTTTGTGTAACCAGACAGTTAATCTGAAGACAGACTCCAAAACTCTGTATTACAGTAAACTGAAATTAAAATATGGTCCTTCTATTTTGAAGCACAAAAAAGGCTAAGAGAAATATTCATCATTAAACAACAGCCATAATAACTGCCATAGAAATTACACAAATGGGCCAGATATTTCTACAAATACACATGTTCAGATTGATCTGCCACCATCACCCATCATTGTCCAAGACTCAGACCTGTCAAAACATTGAGTTAACTGTATCTAAAAATTGTGACCCGCTCTTCTCCCTCATGACCACCCACCCCACCCCCCTTCCCCACCCCTTAGCTTCACGAGACCCCAGTGTACAAAAGTGTCTTCCTCCCTTTGGGGGCTCATCTTCACTGTGCAAACATAATGTAGATTTGAGCGAGAAAATTGAGATTTGAGTGAGAAAATTCCATTCAGTCTGCCTGGCTTTGTACCTATTACCTAATTCTACTCAAACTTAGCTCCACATAATGACTTTACAGATAACATGTTGTACATAATTGGAGGCCGCAACAACACCTCATCAGGAAACATTGACACAGCGAGTGTTGAACGTTATGACCCCCTGCGAGATGAATGGAGGACTGTTAAATCTCTCAGTGTCCCACGCAACAGACTGGGCGTGGCCATCTGTGAGGGCTGTATATATGCAATTGGAGGTGGAAATGGAAACTCATGTCATGTATCAGTGGAGCGCTACGATCCAAAGCAAGATGAATGGACAACGCTGATGCCCCTGAACTTTCCTAGAATAGGTAAATGGATTTTGTAGTGTCAGATCTAGAAGCTGTGAAGACACAGCTGTAGTAAGTGTTTTGTACTGTGGCAGAAATTTGGGCTGGTTTTTTCTTTTTTTTTCAACCTCTTAGAAAGCAGGGGTAAGGGGAAAAGACCCTCTTTCTTCTCTAACCCCACCCACGGAGGTCGTGCTTACAGTCTACTTAGGTCAAAATTATTGCCTATAGACAAAGCACCTGTCAAGTATTGCTCAAACATAAAAATTTCTCTTCACACTGATGTATTGATGATATGAGTGAAAAGTTAATTTTCACGTGTTGCTCCAGAAAATATCCACACTCTGCCCACTGAGATTATAATGGTTTGAACTCCCCGCCCCCCTCCCTTCTGGAAATCCCAGTTTGTCTCATACTGGTACTTTGCATTTACGATTTTGGCACTTAAAACCACATTCCCTTTAGAATTCCCAGTGACCTTTCACTTGGGTACTGATGTTTTCTAGAAGCACATAATAGAAACCTTCAGATTCTAAGACAAGGATAACTACAAGGATCTACTATTAAGTAGTGTGTGCATGTGAGCCAGTGTCATTTTAGTGGGAAAATGTGATGGCTTTTGCCATTCAACTATAGGTTTTAGCGAGAATGTTGAAGTGGCTGAAACAATTTATATTAGAAGTTTTATCATTTTGCCATCGGGACTTCAATAAAAATAACCGCTGTGAAAGTTTCTGTTGAAAGATAGTACAATGAACCTTTCCAGGGTGTCTATTTTTTGAGAATACTACATGTATGTAGTACTCGCAATCCTCTAATTTAATGGGCTCTATTATAAGGTGGGCGAAAACAATCTGCTATCAGTGTCCGGCCTCAAGGCAGCTTATTTCAGATTATACATATGAGCAGTACAGCACACTGAGTGGTAAATAAAGGTATTTGATTTTTCTGTCTGAATATTGTGAAATTCTTATCTTAGGTGTCGCTGTTGCTGTGCTTGGGAAAAAGTTGTATGCCATTGGAGGGTTTGATGGAAGAAACAGGCTTAGAAGGTTTGTGAATGAACTCTCTGTCTACATCTAGTAAGAGGCATTGATTGCAAAATGTTTCAGATAAATTGTATAATTTAGTCGTGAAATTCAAAGGAAACAAATATAGATGCAAGCCTGTAAATGTGAACAAGAACCTCAAAAGTTAGTTTTTAAAAAATAGGCCTTCGTGTAACACTTTTATTCCTCCAGCACTTTTCAATAAAATACACAAGCTTTCAGTGTTTTTCAAAACTAAACCATTTTTTACTGCCACTGGAAATGTTCATGGTGTAGTTAATGTAAGAAAAACAGCATATATGTTGCTCCACCACAAGAAACGACCCACTTCCTTAGATCAACCTTCACAGAAGATTTAAGATGTGTTTTAAAATAACAATAGTTACTAAAGCTTATTTCAGAGTGGAAACTGCAAGGTTTTTGACTGGGTTCTAAGGTTGCCTAACGTTAGGGCAAAAAAAACTTTCATATTGATTTATAATAATTTATTGTACCAGCATGCTGAGACTGAGAATTCTTTGTTTCAATTTTTACTTCTTTACAGTGTGGAATGTTATGATATAGATACTGATTTGTGGAGACTAGTATCACCACTTGTTGAACGTCGTAGTGGGGCAGGAGCAGCATCCCTTAACGAGTATGTTTATGCCATTGGAGGGTACAATGGAGATGCACAGTTGAGCAGTGTGGAACGTTACGACCCAACACTTGATACATGGACAGTTACATCACCTCTTATTCACAGGAGGAGTGCCTTAAGTGCAACTGTGCTCCTTAATAAACTTTACGTCGTTGGTGGGTATGATGGCGAGGGGTTTTTGAGTACTCTTGAGGAGTATTTCCCAGAGGAAGATCGCTGGAAACTGGTTAGCAGCATGAATTTGGGAAGAAGTGGGGCTGGAATTGCAGTGGGATGGAAACCAGCTATGTGATCACAACAGTATTGTTACTCATGGGTAAACTGGTCATTTAATAAGACCTTGGAAAGGTCAGCACATGAACACATGTATAACATGAAATTAAACTTTTCCCAAATGAAAAATGTATGGCTATAATGAAGACACATTCTACTGCTATGTGTAAGCATAATGCTACCAAAGACATTCTTTTATGTTATAAGTTACAGTCGTTGTCATAACTGTCATTAGAGGTTGTTAGATTCAAAGATGAGGATGACTATGAGAACAAGATTTTCCCAAAACTAAATAGCATATGCACGTGAAGCTGAGTCACTTTGGTTGGAAATTTTAATAGCTGTCGTCATTCAACTTTGGGCTTTAGCAAGAATGTCATGGTGGTGGCTTAACCTCCACCAAGAAAAATAATCATGCTAACTTTAATTTTTTGAAGGTTTTTCGAGGTGTTTAGGTTCTGAGAATAATGCAACAAAAAAACTTAAAGTTAAATCTTGTGCACATAGTCCTCCTTTTCTTTGAATCTACAGGTCTCTATTAATAGGACCTGTGCAGGGAATTTTGTCTGCTACAAGAACTGAGAGCCTCTGTTACTTTTGATAACAACCCATACGTTGCAAAAAGGAAATGACACCTTGTCCAACTTCCTGGCCTACCACGCAGATGTTTTTAGGGCTTCATCACCCATTCCTCCCTCATAAACATTCATGAGGGAAGAACGCATGACCAAGAGCTGCACGGGAGGCTACCCACTTGGTTGCCTACTTCAATAATTAGTGACAGCCCTGCCGCAGTAACTTGTGAGTGCTCTTATCACAGTGATCAGGCCTCAGTAGTTAGAAAGGTGGATCGCGCTATCCAGTGGATAAATTACTATCCAAAGGTGATTTATCCAGGGGATAGCGCTATCCAACTTTTGAACAACCGGGGCCAGGACTGTAAGTAAGCAACATGACTGCAGTGGTAACAAACGTGTTATCTAAAAGCTGTTTTACCTTCTTTCATTTAACAGAAATCATGAATATTTCAACACACCTAATTGTAAGAACAATAATTTAATTGCCCTAGAGTTGAATTCTTAGGAATTGCCTCGCAAGTTATTATTATTATTATTTAATTTCTTGTGTCCCCTGAAAGGAAGCTTCTGTGAAAACTATCATTATGATAACTGATTTCTTTGCAATCCCTAGAAATTTTATCATGCTCAAATACGTGTAATACATATAGTAACATATAATAATATAAAAAATTTACATTTCTCTAATCCTGTATCATATATCTCTGAATATATTGTATTGTACAGCAATCTTACAAGTATAATTTGTAATATATTTACAATAATGTACATTTTAACAAACACCAAAATAATAAATTAAAAAGGGGCAGTAACTATGTATAAATTCTAGTATCCTCTTGATTTTTGGGGGAATCTTTCCCCTGAACCTCTTAGTTGTTTCTAATTTCTCTGCTAACCTTACCACAATTTTTTTTTAAAGTTCTTTCTTTGGTTAACTGCCTAAGGCCTGGATTGGCCAAATGCTTTAAAGATGTAAACAAATTAAATGTAGACATAAACAAGTTGCAACTGACAGCACTTCCATATGGCATAATTTCCCACAACACATCAGAGGTTAAGATATTTTGGGGTTAATTGTCGCAAGGGAGTGCTACAAGCTTCACGGTGGGTCCTTCCTAAAAAAAAAGTCACCAGACTAAAAATCCGTAAGTGTACAAGTAGGGTTGGCTTATGAATGTGAAATGAAGGGAATCTGAAATGTCTGCAGATGAGAAAGAACTACCGTAACATTCCGAAAATAAACCCCGGGGCTTATATTTTTCAAAGGCTCTTTTAGAGGGGCTTATTTTTGGAAGGGCTTATCTTCCGAGGGGCTTGTCTATGGAGGGAAATTTGTGTTTCAAAATCACTTGGGCTAGCCTTACAGTTGGAAGGAAATTTACCATTTTTGCTTTGTTTTACTTTGTATTTGAGGGCAATTTCCACGTACAAGCCCCTGGGGGGCTTATATATGGAGAGGCAATTTAACAGATAGTTTTTTTGCATTACAAGTTTGGAGACTTATATTTTGAGGGGCTTATACATGGAGGGGCTTATTTTCAGAATTTTACAGTATTTCGGACAGTTATCACTAAATACAATAATAACTGTGGGTAACCAAAGGAGGCCGCAATTGCTAATCCACATGTGTGAAGCGTACATAACCAGTATCAATTTGGACTACCACTAGGAATATAAAACTGAATGACCTACTGCAATTTCAGACAGTTATTATTTTACAATAATAATTGTTGGTAACCAGAGGAGTCTGCAATTGTAATCTTCAGGTTGCTATCAGACGTGTGACACGTATGTAGCCAATATTCATACAAACTACCACTAAAAATGAAATGAATGACCTACTATCACGTGAAACTTGGCAAAGCGAGGCATTGGATCTGGTCTGTACTCCCTTAGAACCATTGGTCAGTACTAGTGTTTACCGATAAAATCACATAGTCAAACTATTCCTAAAACAGACACCTGATTGGAACAGTTTTCTTGGTGTCACAGATACCAACCTTCACACAATCCCTAGTTCTATGTATAATATGGTCAGGTCTGTGATGTAGAAACTTGACTCTGTCCCTGTACCGCAAGAAAATCCTACTCACATAATAGACAGTTTTTCTCAGTTTATCTCCTGCCAATATACAATATTGACCTCCGTGGTACTCTTTCCTCTTCTATGAAATGAAAGCCCTCATCACCAATTTGTGGATAATTCATCATATCCAAAAAATCCAGGTCATAGTACTGTGGCTTGCTAGTCCAGATATACTCAGAAAATAACTCCAGTCCCTCGCAGTGGATGTGTCTTAAAACACAGTCATTCATTAAGCTGTACAGTGTTTCCAATGTTGTGTGATTCTCGCAGTAAACTTTCCAAAACTCTGTCATGCAAGCGAGGGTATAATCTCTCCTGTCACACAACAGTTGAGAAAGAATTTCAGCCTCCATTTTGATACTCTGTTTTGTTGCTGTAAGATAATCTCCAGCTCCCAATATGTGTGAAACCAGCGTGTTGTTGGCCACTACGCCCTTAAATCTTTCTTGTACAAGCTGAAAGGCACAGATCAAATTAATTTTGTCATTTATTTTTTAGAAATAGAGAAATCTAACATTGGAAAGCTCCGAGAAAATTCCAAGCTCCATATGAGATTTGCATTTTGAACTAACAAGTCCTCTGATTCATAGATCTGATGCTCCAACTGCTGAGCTACTGGAAGCTCTACAGCGAGCAGGGTCGAAATTTAATAATAATATAACTACAGCAACCACTGAGAACTGTATTGGGGACTTGCTCAAAATCGGCTGTCCACCAGTGAACAAAGTTAGGACTAGGAATTTTGGAAAGACTCAAAATTCTGGCTATTAAATTTAGTTATATAAGATTTATAAATAAGAAAATCTTATAGTAAATTTAGTTAGATAAGATTTATAATAATAAAATCTTATAGTGGGAGGCTAACGTGGCTGGCTCCCTCATCATAAACAGGCCGAAAAAGAAGAGTTTTTGTTGTGAAAATATTCTGTTCCAAGACAACAACATTATTGGTGCAAATGTGGTATTAATTAATTTGCTATTACAAAATATTGCTCACATGTGTAAACAGCTAACAACTGACTAGCCTTCACACTTACGATTTCACGTACACAGCAAATTGAGTATCACTGGTCCATGTAGAGGCTCAACTTACTTATTTTGTCAAATGTTTACCTGTCTAAAACAGTAACACTAAGTACCAGAAAGTTAGAAAAACTCTTAGCTTAGGAAAGCTCCCGCTCCAATTTTATGACTCCATAATGAAAAAGTTTGACATTAAAATAATTATAACTTTCAATTCACAGACCTTTCCAGTGTTAATAGCAATGGCAATAATAATGTTAAACAGTGAAATTCTTTGACACATGCTAAATTTCTTGCAGTAAGCTAGCTGGATACATCTATCCATGTCTTTATCAACAACTCAGAACAGTTTCAAGGGATATGCTAGCATCTACAGTATGTATTTTATTTACAATCAGTCATTTTTTATCATTACCATGTGCATGTGCTCATTGCAAGCCTCATCATAATATTATGTTTGTAATGTAATATGCACCTCACACATGTCTGGTGTTGGTAATGACTACTTAGTGACCCACATCAAATGTCATGGTCACACTTCTGTATATCATGTATCTGTAAATAATATACTACATGCTTAAAAAATCCACATAATCTTGACGGTTAAATAAGAGAAAAAAAAATATGGAAAATTGTATCTGCAAAACAGAAAAGCAATGGAATACCGTAATTTACCAAATGATTAATTTAAAGAAATAAAATCATAGAATGCATAAAGAATGCATTACATTTTCAAGTACAATCAGGTAGTATTTCATTTTGAAAGCTTTATTTATGAGATATATGATCTTGGCAATAAAACACTGAATCAGATGCGAAGGATGTATATACATAGTGTCTAGCAGTATATTAACAGAAAACTGGGAAGTTGTTGTTGCTAGTTTTAAGTATAAAATAAAGATCTCGTATCTTTCATGTCTCTATACATGTACATGTACACGTACTAGAGACAGCTTTATCAGCTACCTACTGTAGTAAAATCAGCCAGCAACTCTAAGTTTTGAAAAAGATTCAAGGAGGATGACAGTCCTGTTACTGCTCCTCCATTTTATTGCAATATGGTTGTTATATGAGCTGTAGCCCATGAATAAAAAAACCTGGGTTTGGACATACTTGAAATTTTGGAGGATCAAAATACCAAGTCACGTACACAGCATGTGATCTTGCATCAATGCTCAAAACATAATCAGGTGATTTGAATTTAACAGGATTATAATCCACAGGTAAGTGAAGACAACAGCAACAACAACAACTCCCAATAATACATCTTTTGTCTTCATCCAAAGAGAAAGTGTTTACAGACAAGCTAGGGCCTGGTTTCTGAAAGGCTGCAGATTAGCACTAATGCAGGATTAAAGTTTTTTCCTTTTTTTATAGTTACCTTCCAATGCATAGCTTAGAGTCACATTTTAAGGCTCAACAGCATTTTATAAGCAAGAGTTACATGATCTTACACAAGAAAACCTTGCTTGGTTTAATCCTGGGTTAAACTTGACCATCTTTCAAGAAACCTGGCCCAGAAACTTCTAGATTTGAGGCAGCATTCAACTATCTGATAACAACCTGAATGCATAAAAAAAGCCTTCAATATCCTAGGTTATTTTTCAACTGATTTGTTGGTGATAGAGATATTGATGACAGTTGGTATGCAACAAAGAAAGTTATAAAAAACTCTTTGAAATGCACTATGAGGTCCAAGCACAAGGAAATTTCTATTTGACAGCAGTGAATGATTTTTTGCGGGCAATTCCAAGATTAAAAACAGACAGCAAATTTTTAAATGACCCACAAATGTTTGGCTAGGTCAAAACTTGATGTTATAAATAAAACAAACTGCTTCGTTATAGTTCATGTGGGAGAAATGCAGTTTTTAGTAAAGGGTGCAACATTATGGTTGCCATTTTTTGCACAAAACATAAAAAAAATGTAAAGCTCAACTCAAGTTTATTGTGTAAATTGTGCTTTGCTTTCGTGAGACAACTCACCAGCTAGTTTACAGGTATAATTACACATTAAAAATATTTAAACATGAATAGATAATTATAACCAAAATATATACAGAATGACTAATTAAAAACATGAAAATAATGTAAAAACTATTTACATAAGACTAGAAAATTTCACAAATGAGACAAAAGCTAAATCTATTTTCAATAAAATAAACTGGCAGTAGTAGTACATGTAGTAGGTAATTATATTAAACCTGATAAGTCCAGTTTTCTTATACTATTTTTAAAAGCCTTGAAAGATCCTATAGTTCTATGTGAGTCAGGTAAAGAATTCCAAAGTTTTGGTGCTGTAAATCACCACGATTTAAGGACGTAAGTTGAAAAGTTAGCCATTGACCGCTTTAAAATGTCATTTCCCCTGAGGTCATATTTACTGTTTCTATGTTAGATCAGATCTTTGATGCTCTTTGGTGCATGTTCATTGTTAATGACATTAAAAACTGTATAAGTTATTTTAGCGAGGTGTTGATTCACTAGTGAAGGTAAACCTATTCTATTTAGTAGTTCAGAGTAGGGCGTTTGTTGCTCATTAAAGACAATATGAAGGGCATGCACATTACCTTTCTCTAGCTTTGCAGTGGCACTATAGAAATGCCATGTCTCTGGGCAACAGTTACTTTTAATTGGCATCATTCATTGTGAGAGAGATTAGTTTTCTTTGGATTTGAAGTCATAAAAAGGATGGCAATGAAAAATCACTTTTCCTTCATACTAGGACTGGACACATTTTCATTTTGCCCATTTTTTGTTCAATTGGCAGTATTATTAACACATCAATCTCATTAATGTTTCTCAAGATCTACAGTATACAAGTATCTTTGTTTGCTACTTGTCTGTTTTACAGAATGCAGACTTGGCTATGGTTTGAGTGGTGAACACGCTGAAATAATGTAGTAGGAAGAAAAGGTATGGCTATTTCTCTGTGACAAAACAACGAGGTGGCTGTATAGACTAGGTGACAATAATAATTATGGCATGGATGTCGCACGTCAACATCTTGATTATCAAGTTTCTCAAAGTCACAGTTCTCTCATACAAGTATACAACGTACGCTTGTTTACCTTGTGACATATACAAATGCAACAAGTTTTGTTTTTATTTATTGACAATCTCACATGAAAAAAAAAACTTGTGATAAAAGGCAGTTGCCTCACATGCATTGTATCCTTTCAATCACAAGCTAGTAACACGCAACGGCAGAAGACCAGATCACCATTTTGTCAAGCAGACTGAAAAAATAATTTGGCATTCATTACATTGTGTTTTAAATATCTTTAAGTACTATGCAAATCTTCAGCTTTAAAGTGAGGGTCTCTGGGATTTGATTTGTCTGGTACACTGTAATCATGTTCAACTGCAAGAAGGGTTTCATTTGACATAAAAAAAAATTCAGTAGGATATTGTCAGATGGCTAATTATTAATCTACTTGCAGCTCTAAATACAGAAGTGTTTATACATATAAAAAATATCATAGAATTAGATTTAAAATCGTTGATGCCAAACATGTAGAGCATGCATGCATTACTGAGTGTACAGCTTAATATCAAGGGCTTCTGGACAAGAAAGACACTCTGTTCAAGACACTAAAATACTGAAACATACACCGCAAAACATACCCTGTTAAGTAGCACGTACTAGCCTTCTATGCAGACATTCTTCGAATTTTGTCACACGTTTCTTACCCGCAAAGGGGAAGGACTGTTTGACGAGCCAAAGGAACGTCTACATCGGAGGCTATGTAAGGGAGTGCCCCCCTCCCCCACGGGCAATGACTGCCCAAGCTCTCCATTAGATTAGTCGATAAGTCACTCTGTATTCTAACAAACACTTTAGCTAAATTGAAAGGTGAAATTTGGTCATTATTTATAACAGCTAAATGGTTTGTTTGTTAAAATAAAGAGGGACTAAACCGGCAAATGTTTTGTTTTGTCGGTAGACTGAGCTAACTACAACTTAGCCATTATCTAAACACCACCATTACTGTTGGTCTAATAGAACAAAGTGTTTAGTTTATAGTGTTATAGAAAGACGTCAAAATAAATTTTAAAGACTATTATTTCTCCTATGACAAGCTTACCTCAACTGCATCATGGATCACCTTCTCTGGTTTATACATTGAAATCTTTTCAGCTGCCTCCTTCCATTTTTCCTCTCCGAAATGCCAGAAGGTATTTGCAATACTATCCTTGTCGTTCCAAGAAAAGCTTGTTGCACCCTCGTCGTCAGTCTTGGAACATCTTTGATCACAATATGACAAACCTAACGCTGATTTAACGACTCGCAACAGCTCGCTTTCTTGAAGAATCTCTGGTGTATTTTGATGAATTAATTCGGTGACAAGTTTTCTCCCATAATCAAATAATTCATCTGCTGTGATTTTAGAATGACAAAGGCTTCTTTTCTGAATTGCATTCGGAAATTCCACACCACTGCTGTCTTCGGCGGGCATTTTTAACATTCTTTTATAGATCAACGGACATCTGAAATACGATGTTGTTTGCAAAGAAAGCCGAGAAGAATTAAGATTTCGGGATATACAAAAAAGTTTCGTCAAATCATGCATTGTGGTTTGGATCGAAGCCAAGGGCGACGAAAAAACTGCTTGGATGAACAACGAGTTCTTGCAACCATAAAGAGAGCCCGAGTTTGACTCCAGTGCCAAGGACATGGTCTTCTGATCACACGATGTACTGTTTGAGGCTTATCGCAAGCTTTTTTAAGAACTAAACGCAACGTCTGCCAAAAATTACTGCATGAAGTTCGCCATGTTTTCCACCGTTTTTCGGCCAATTACTTCCCTTTTTTTTTTAGAAACAAGGTTTGGTTACCTTGCCTAAAGACGCGGTTACTCATGTCCCAGTTTCCCTCGGTGCAATGTGCGCCTGACGATTTTCGTATTTTGGGTTGGAAAAATCGAAACAGAGAGTGTTATTGGTGATTATACAAAATGGCATCGAGCGCAAATCGCTCAAGTGATGTTATTATTATCGATGGGAGCATAATGGAAGGGGTGAGAAGAACTTACCTGTGGGTTTTGTACCATTCACCAAGACAGCTCCCATAAAATGATATATATACCTTCTTGAGATAACTTTTTTGTCAGTACGTGCTTCATGCAGTCAGCTCATAGATTTTGAGTTTACCTTCATTGTGTTATATTTCACTGCTATTAAATCTGTCTTGACTATTTTCTAGGGTGGTCAAATCCTCAGGAATGCAGTGAGCTTTGCCTGTTTGTTGAATTCTGCAGTTTGTGTTGAAAACATCAGAGGTGGAAGATCAACACCAGGACTGCGAGCTCAACATATGACTGGTAAAAACTAAATGGTCAAATAATGTAAATTTTCCAAAATACCTGTTGCTTGAGACAAAAATATTTCTTTTCAAAGGAAAAACCCAAGCTCACAGCGTAAAGGGTCGATCACATTATGCCACTCTAGTCAGCTGGGCTGAGATTGCAGCTCAGCTTTCTGAATAAATCTTCTTAAAATAATGTTAGAATTTACATGAAGAGTGTCAGCCTGGTCTGAAACTAAATGTATATTTCAAATAAATAACTGGTCAAATGGGCTGAGATACCCCATGCATTTAAGCTTCACCCAGGGCTGAAAGTATGGACAACTTACAAGCGTGCACTGATTGAGATTTTAAACCAGACCACTTTGTATGTGATGTTTCCTGGCAGTGCCCAATTTTAAACATTGCACTCGGGATTAAGGTCACCACAAGTGATCTTTTGACAAAAATACAGCTTCATACACTAGCTGATAGTCAGCTGACTAGTTATTGGTTAGGATGGTCGGTAGGTAGCTCGATAGGTAGGCATGAAAAGATAATCAAGGGAACTGACAAATGAAAGTAAATGAAGTTTTATTATTTCTAGGATTGCAGCTGATTAGAGATATTACTTCTGGTAAACTTGATGGAGACAAAATTGGTTCTATGTCCGTTACTCTTCATCCCACAAATATTGGTTCAGGGACATTTATTGCAGATACCAAAACAGCTGGGTAAAGGAATTTTAACTGATTTTCTTTTGGTTTTGTTATTACTCTCTGATTTTCTGTTGTTTCTGTGGTCGAAATATGAAAACCTCAATTGAGTTGTATTCTTGCTGTTCTTGCTATGTTTTTAGGCAGGAGTTTGGCTATTTCTTAATTCTTTATGAAGTGTGTGAAATGTTCGTCCATACTTTTGCCTTGCTCTACAACCAAAGCAATGCAATCTTATCCCCAGGATTTCTCAGTTTTGTCCCTTTTTCTGGTGATTATTCTGTACTATTGACATCATTTTCTGGTTATCGTAAACATCTTCCAAATTTGGTTGATGTGAGCTGGTCATGAAGAATTAGCCATGGGAATTGAGCCTATCAGAAAAGAAGAAATAAATTATTTTGAATGAATAACAATGCATGATAATGAAATAAAAGAAACTAACATTCAAGCTAATTATACATTTTACTACAACATATCAATTCACATTAAATAAAATAAAATTTGGTTTTCAGGAGTGTATGCCTGCTCATGCAGCTTGCTTTACCCTGTTTACTCTATGCACCTGCTGCATCAAAACTGATTCTTAGAGGAGGAACAAATGCAGAAATGGCTCCACCTGTTGATTTCATGACAGATGTAAGTTGTCAGTCATTATTTATGAGGTTTTAATACTTATATTAGATACGTCAATTTGTTTTAGCCCCTGCAGTGCCACATCAATGCAACTGGGATGAGTGTTAATGATCAAGAAGGTATAGTGCTGTTGAACAATGTGACTATTGAGGTCACAAAATTAATTGCTAATGGCTGCAACTGCACTTGGTAAGTTTATAACCAGGCTAGTTTTTGCAAAACCTGGTAAAAAATTCTTCAGAACGTAACCTCATGGTTAAAAGAGTTTGACCAGGTTAATTTTTATCAGAGGCTGGACTCAATTTAGACTTTCACAAAGTCATTCAATGTTGCACAGTTTTTTGTTTGCTCACTTAAGTCCCCTAGTGTGGCCACAGCCAATGTTTATTAGCTTTTTTTTTAGTTTTACCTCACTTTGATCTCTTACAGGTTTTAAGGCCTATTGTCAAAAAGTTAGGTGTAGAGTTTGATTGTGACATTGTCAGAAGGTAAGTTAACTTGCTGTAGAAGTCACTGTGGCTTAAATTCCTAATGGCTCTGCCTTAAAGAGCAAGACCAAGGATTAGATGGACCAGGGATAACTTGGATGGCTTCATAAAATGCTGGCACTAAATTGCCCGCAACAATTGGACTAGTAGAGGTCAGTAGGGAAGTGTACACTGTACCTCCAATGGCAGACATTCAACGGTGACATTTAACACTAACTGAACTGAACTGAACTGCCTATGTGTATATCCAGGGTTATTAAAGTCATGATGAACAAGGGTAAACAAAATTTTTCAAGGTCAGGAATTAGGGAACTTTTCTTGGCATAAAGTGAGGAGAAAATAGTTCTTAGCAAAGTTAGTGAAAAGTCAGCTAATTTTTCTTTCAGGAGGACATTTGGTTTCATTGAACCCATAAGACAATTGAAGAAGAAGAGCCTTTATTTACCATATATTTGAGATCATGCAAGTAAGCTCTGTTGAGCTTTTTGATGATCTCTGCTTTATTCTAAATAGATGCATATTCTGGATTGTACAAAAAATGCTTGTAGAGGAACTAAAAATGAAGAGACAATAATATTCAAAGCCTGCAAAATTAACCAGCTTCAAAGTTAGTAAAAGTTAATTCTTTTTTACAGTCTGGTAAAGTCAGGAATTGTAGTCACAGATAGATTGGATTTTTTTGTTCAAGTGAGTGGCATGGCATTCATTAATATGATGTTGATTCATAGTCAGTTTCCAGCAATTTTTAATTGTTTTTTTTTTTCTCTTCTACAAGAGGTTATTACCCGAAAGGAGGAGGTGAGATTCATGTGACAGTGAAGCCAGTCAAACAGTTGAGACCTTTACAGTTACTGGAGAGAGGATCATTAACAAGAATAACTGGACGAGCATTTGTTGCAGGAAGGCTTCCTTTGAGGGTTAGTTATTGCCTCACGCATCGTCGAGTGATTTAACCTTGGTTAGTAACATCTGCAAAGCAGCGCCGATATCCTTGTTCTGGGTCCCAATGGATTCAAAGAATTACTGGAACTGCATTTCGAATTTCCTTTTAACTTGATTGGCATGTCAACAGTGGCTTTTTAACAAACCAACCCTGGTGCGTACTTAAATCCTGTTACACACAGGTGGGAGCCCAGCTGCGAGAACAAGGATTTTGGCACTGTTTCACAGACAGACTTAACCAGAGTTTACAGTTTCATCTGTTTAGGTTAGTTAACAATAAGCCATTTCTGACTTATACGAGAAACCTTCAGAAAGAACTGGACATCAATAGGGAAGAGGTTCTCCTCTTGCACATTAGTTTGGACCAGAGTAGACTCTGTGCATATTGTCACCTATTGTCCTCAGTGAACCATCAGTGCACTTGTAGACTGCCACCTATGCATGAGTAAATGTACATTTCAAATTTTGCTCTACCAACCCTGAAAAAAAATGAAAGATTACTCCAATCTTTTATCAGTCTAGGACCAAAGAGAAATTAAAGTGGGATGGAAGGTAAAAGATAAAAAGGGATGGGAACCATGATTGTTACAATATGAAGATGGGAAATGAAAAAGAGGTGTACACCAACTTTAAGAGAAGTGACAGTTATGAGGAATTGAGTCAGAGGCTGGGAACAGGTTTTGATGGAATTAAAAACATACAAAGGGGTCAGGTACTAAATGGGAAGGGACTGGCAAGTGGAAACTGACTGAAACAGAAGAAAAAAGGAAGTGGGAAATGGGAGATAAGGGAAGGGAAATGGAACAGAAAAGTGGGAACTGCTAGGTGGGATGGGGGTGGAAAAAGAAGCTAGAAGAGGGGAGGGTGCAAAAGGGGCGGAAGCTGGGGGACAAGTTCATTGAAAATGGGAGAAGGAGTTAGAAATTAGAGGAGATACAATGGGAATAGGAGAGAAGTGGGTGAAATATGGTAGGGTAGAACTTTGGGAAAGAAAGACTGGGAGAAACAGAGATGGGAACTGGGAAAGAAGTGTGCGACTTGGGAGAGAAAAGGTGGGAACTGGAAGAGAAAGGGGTAAAAGTAGGAGAAAATAGATGGTGAGAAGAAAGAGGATGGAAAGTGGAAGAAAAAGAAGTGAGAGCTGGAAGAAAATGGGAAGAGAAGTGCTGGGAAAGATGTTTGTGAAAATGGGAAGGGAAAAGTGAGAACTGGAAGAAAAAGGGGTTAAGAATTGGGAGCTGAAGGGATTAGAACAGGAAAGGAAGTCTTTGGCGATGGGGGCCTACATGATACATTTTTTATAATAAAATAGTTATTGAAGCCAAAATACATTTTTTTTATTGATACCAAAATAACCTTAACTTACTTATAACCTAACGTTAACTGGTATTTTCTAATAATATTGATCTACAGATAGCCCAGACCATGGCCAGAGAGGCAGACAGGGTTTTAAGGAAAAAATATCCTGACCTCAGTGATATTAACATTGAACCAGTTCAAGAACCTCCTGAAAAAGCACATGAAAGTGGAACAGGAATAATGTAACTCTTCCTTCAGCCATTGGTAGCTAGCTGAATATTCAGTTGACTCCTTGACTTCATCTTAATAATTTAGATGATAATATTAAGCAGTTGCTTTTTTTTACTGTCAAACTTCGAAACTTTTCTATGCCTTGAATGCTTTTAGGGAACTGATACCAGAGATTTTAAATTTAACTCTTTAAGTCCCAATAGTGACCAGCAGCAATTTTCTCCTAACAATATCCATACATTATCATGAGATTAGGTTATGAGAATTAATAAAATAATCACCTAAGAGAAAATACTTTGATCTTTTAACAAATTCTCTTAACTAATTCTTAACGGAAATGTATAGAGATCAGTTTGGAGAATTTGTATGTAGATATTGGGGCTTAAAGGGTGAAGAGAAATTACTAGCCTGAAAGACCAATATATTATTGAAAAATAGAGGACAAAAAAGAATTCTTTTTAAAATTATTGATAGTTTGTAGGACTCTTCATGCATTTAATACAAGTACCATTGTCATTTAAGTGGATTTTTTTTCTTCCTTTTTTTCTAATGCAGCCATATATGAGCCATTTTAAAAATGCCTGGTTAATTAGATGATTAATGTCACCAATGCTTATCAATCATAATATTATGCCTCCTTGATTGAATATGTAATGATACAATATTATTGTGATGTTTCTTCAGGGTCATGGCTGAATCGTCAACTGGGTGTAGACTAGCTGGATCAGCAATTGGAAAGAAAGGTGAACGTCAGTTTCTTATTGGTTTATATAATATATATACTTCAGCCAATTGACCAGTGTATCTTCTGCAATGTGGAGGCATGTGGCTGAGTGGTTAACACCACGAACTCCGCATCTGGAGGTCCAGGGTTCAAGCCTCGCCCATTGCATTGTTTCCTTACACAAGGAAACTTACTCCACTTTGCCTCTCTTCACCCAGGTGTATAAATGGGTACTGGTAACATACTGCTGGGGGATAATCCTGCAATGGACTAGCATCCTGTCCAGGGGAGAGTAGCGATACTCCTAGGCATGGTTCATGCTAAGAAAACCGGGATAAACTCCGGTCATTTGGGGCTTTGGCTCATGTGCGCCTTTACCATTTTTTTATCTTCTACAAAGGTTTTGTTTGCACATGTGTTGACTTAACCCTTTAAGTCTCAATATCCACATACAAATTCTCCAAACTGGTCTCCATACATTTCCTTAAAGAATGAGATAAGAGAATTTGATGAAAGATCAAGGTTTTTTCTCATTGGTGATCATTTTATTAATTCTCATAACCTAATCTGTTAACAATGTATGGATATTACTAGGAGAATATTGATGTTGGTCACCATTGGGACTTAAAGGGTTAATAGGTCATTTCTGAGTTGCCCTAAATGCAAAGCCATTGATATAAAAAGGATTTTTTGTTCTCATGAAAATGAAATTCATTTTCACAAGAAAAGTTTTTCAGTTAGCCTTGTTTTGAAAGTGAAAGTTTTTGGAACTTGGAAATAGCCTACTGACACAGCTGTACAATCACATGACTGATCCTCACCCCTTCCCTACCCCTGCATGGGTATCATATCTTTTATCAGCCCTTGCGATATTACTGTTGCAGGAGTCCCAGCAGAAGAAGTAGCAAGAAATGCTGTTGATGAGCTGACTAGTAATCTTCAGCATAACAGCTGTGTTGATGAACATTTGCAGGATCAGGTGAGTATACCAGGAAACTTAAACTCTCTTTGAGGTTGGGTGGGCTTGCCGTGGGTAAAAATGAGGCTAGACTAGTACTGTGAGCAGTCTCTCTTTTTCTCAGAAATCTGTCACAAAGCACGAGAGGTATGTAAGTTGTGTGGGTGCCAGTATGCTCAGCTGACTGCTTGCAGCTCACACATTCACACATCACACTCTCTCACTGTAGCCTCTGTTTACAATAAGGTTAGTAGAGACCTTTAGATTCCGAGACGAGTATGACTACAAGTGTGAGATTTTCTCAATACTAAGTAGGGCTTGCGCGTGAACCAGTGTCATTTTAGCGGGAAAACATGATTGCCGTTGTCATTCTACTACGAGTTTTAGCTAGAATGTCTTGGTAACAGAAACAAGTTATAAAGTGTTAGAGGTTTTATCATTTTGTGGCCGGGAGATGGCTTAAGCTCCTTCAGCAAAGATATGTGCTAATTTTTTGGTGAAGAAGAAGAGCAATGAAGCTTTCCGGGGTGTCTATAATTTAAGAATGCATGAACAAACTTCAAGTCAAATCTTGTACTCATAGTCATTCTTGTCCTAGAATCTAAAGGTCTCTAATATTTGAGAGACTGAATACTTGTGTGAATGTACAGATTTATCATTTCATTCTTTTTTTTTAAAAGGGCATTCCTCTCTTAGATGTGGGCCACTGACAATGCACACCCAAACAGCAATTCATGTGGCAGAAAAAATTATGAAGGTCAGCCCATCTTACTCTTGCTTGGTTTAAAGCATAATTCTTAAGTCAGTCAAGTGGGCAAGCTGCTCAGGCAGTAACCTAAATAACTGGCATTTTTTTAGTAAGCACACATTATTTTGCAGATAATGAAGTGTTAGGATGCTAATTGCACAAGTGAGGGGGGACGTGGCCGACCTAAAATAAGGCTCTATTTTTGCATCTTTTGGCAAAGCAAAACACAATTGTGAAATTGTGTCAGATTAGCAAAAATTTGGCCTAATCTCAGGTTAAGTCACTGCCTTCAAGCATAATGTGCATGTAAGCAAAATCACACTAGCTTTCCCATGTCTCACTTCTGCGTGCACACAATGAGTTTCACACATGCTCGTGTACTTGTACACCCTACTATATACCCCTGAGGAAAACCAGGGACTCCTCAGAAACTAATATCTTGTGAGGCATTTCCAGTGTACGATACAAAAGCACCTGTTCTTTGCTGGTTTAAGCAAGCCGTTAGCGAAGTGAAAGTTGGGAGGGCTCACAATGATATAAATCTTCAGGCTCCATATGGTCTACACCCTTTTCACATTAGTACTTGTATACCCAGATGTGTGTGGGGAACAACATTTTCAGCTTCTTTTGTACGTGAACCACCGTCAGTAAAAAGCAACACATTCAATAACCGACCCATTCTGACTTAATTTTATCATCCAAATAAGTTTACAATTTGAATTCAGGGTTTCACATTAGTAGGTTGCAGTAAATAGACAAAGTAATACATATAGTCAGTTGCTAGTTGCAGTGGTTGGAAATATGTGGTGTTCTATTTTGAAATAAATACATTTTAATAGCTTTAATTCCTTGAATGAACATTTCTCAGCTTCTTTTTCTCTCCTTTAGGCAAAAATCCAGGTTCAACAACTCTCAGAAAAGGAAGGCTGTATCATTGAATGTGATGGAATAGGGTTACAAAATCCACATCTCTAAAACCTTTACAGTTGTAGATAACAAATAATACATAAAATCAGCAAAATATTGCTTGTACATGGTTTATGCTTAATTAAAACACTTTTGAAAAAGTCACTGCAGCTGTTACTGGTAAATGTTTTTTTGTTGTTGTTTTTGTTACTTTACTTGCATAATTACTTGATTCACTTTATTCTGGAACATTGTTCTCCTTAACAAGATGAGTGCTCCTTGAACCCTTCCAGGGGTGGGTAGGGGGTGAATAGCGTGGATTGGTACCCCTCACAATACCATTTTGGGTATTTAACCCCAGAGTGAATAATGGAGTTTTGTAAGGAACTCTTACTTTTGAGTCTGTGGACAAAATCCTATGGTGTGACCATTCAAATGAAACCTCTCAATCTGTACTTTCACATGGTGCTACTTGTTTATGAAATTTGGGATTTTTTATTGAATTTTGTCTTTGGCCACCTTTGGCAGTGAAAAGCCTTTTCAGTCTCAAGAGTGACCGACATCAATTTTCTCCCAACAATATACATATGTCAAGAAGAGAAAAGGTTTGGGAAATCACAAAATGAACAACAAAATCTTTACAAGGACGATGTTCTTGAAAGAATCACCTTTATTCACACCTGTTAAAATTATTGCCTGTGCCAAAATAATTTATTCTTTCGAAACTCATACCATTTCAATCGATACTTCTGTCATTCTAATTGAGTCCTCACTCTCCTTTCCCAGTGTCAAACACAAAATTATTACAGCAGATGGTTGTCATCATTATAATTATAGTACACTAGCACTCCTAAAGATAACCCACGTTTCTTTTCTCTTGTCTTTTGGACTTTAAAAAAAAGGTGTGTTTATAGTGGAATGTGTACTTAGCTTATCCAGCTAGTTTACATGCACTCCACTCAAATATTTAGAACCAACTGATATTATTTTTCAAATATAACATTACCAGCGTAGCCAAGGATTTCAAACAAATCCAGCAAGTGGTGAGAACAGGACAAGCACCCGCGACTGCAGGATTGTGAGACTGACACAGTAGAATCCTTTTCTGTGATTAAAAAGCAGGATATTCTCCACCATTAATTTTATTCTCCTCCTTACACCTACAGCACTTGAGACATGTTTTTTCCCATTTTCTTTCTAAGCAACAATAACACTGGATAGTGAATGTCCTCATCATACAGAGGGTCTTCATTCTTTGCCACCTGATGTCTTGTCCACACCAGAGGATCATAATTTTCAATCTTGTCCACATTAAACTGAGCATTTGCCCTGTTGCAAAATAAATCAAGTGTGTCTTTTCTACGTGGCGCCATCAATATCGCAGAACCATCCTCTTTAAGAAGAGTTCCTATCACGTGAAGCAAACCAGAGTGACAATTAGTGAAGAACAAGCAATCACCACTGATAATGAAATCAAATTGTGATCTTAAATCAGAGAGGTTGGCCTCTGTGTCCCAAACCAAAACTTGGGGTGATACCACAGTTAAATCAAAACAGGACTTATTACGCTCAATAATAGCTTTCATATTCTCAACGCAGTCTTCGTTCCCGTCTGTTAGTAATACTTTGGAAGGATTTGCGAAGGCAGCCAAACAAAATCCGGCTAAACCAGTCATTCCTGCTCCAAGTTCACACACTGCTTTCTTGTGGAGTTGATCTTTGTGTTTTAACAGGTAATACGCCAAAACTTCTTCGGATGGCCACAAGCACACGTTGCCAGTGTTATCAAATCCGGTTAAATCTTCAAGGACAACTTGTCTAACTCGCTGCTTTATAAACAAAGGTTTTTGTTCGCACAAACTGACATTTTCCAGAACTTGATTCTGAAGATGATAGTCCACCCATTCACAACCAGCTTCACTTTGAATGGATTTCTTAACAAACAAATTGAATCCCGAAAATCTTCTCACTGATATTTTATTCTGCTCTGTTTCGATTGTTTCTTTCTTAATAACTGACGCCAAAATGTTCCATCTTTTACGAGCTCTTTGCTGCTGCATGAAGTCCGCCATCTTGTCTTCGTAGCCCCTAAGGATGCATGGGATGTACTTGACGTCATCACATAACGCGGCACCGCAATCAAAGTGCAAGATGGACTCCCTATGTGATCGATTTCCTCTCCATAAAGCTGTTTTTGAGGGGAATTTACGAAAAGTTTCAAGTTGTTTGCGTACTTGTGACATTGGAGAAAGAGATATCCATGGTAAGGGCTATTCTGTTTGTTACGATCGCGTTTAAATGGCACCCAAGAGTTTGTTTTCATTTCCGCCCGCTTCTCGACACCGGCCGGCTCTAACTGAAGTTTCTCTTTTACTTTAGGAATTTTCTTCAACAATCTTTTCTTTTTGAGATAATCATTTTGGCTGACATATTGCTATTGACACTCTGTTACGTTAAAGGTTCTTAAAGAAGGAATTTTGATTGTTTTGGTTTTAATTTTAGCGCTGCCCAAGTGCTTATAAGGGTCATACAGTCGATGACAAGTTCTTTGCATAGCATTGTTTTCTTATATATGGACGATGATAATAAAAAAAATGGCTTGTTTGATTTTATTCAAATCTTCTTGTCTTTGCTATTAAAGATGATTCACCTGAATGCACTACCGTTTGTTTCTTTTGGAAGCCTTTTTGCACTAAAATGTCACAAGACATTTTTGTTACATAGTGAGCTTAATGTTAAGTTGAATTATTTATTAATGCAAGGACTGTTTAAAGATCTTCATTTTATTTTAAAAGCAAAACTTTGTGAAAAGTGTAAGGAATTAAGTCTTATTTCATCAACCGTTGCTCCTTGCTTTGTGTTCAACACAAAGAAGTTACCTGTTAAATTATCCGTGTAATAGTTTTGGCTTGTTATTCAAATGTAAAACAGATGTTTAATGGAAACATGTTTAAAACTGTGCCCTATATTAAATAGCACTAGATGTTCATGTGCCAGTCCAAGCATGGTTTGGCCACATGTCATGAGACAGTCACTGGTTGTTTAAAAAATATTTCAGGTTCAGTAGTTTTGATAAGTTTTTCAGGGAGTCACCTTTTATATTAATTAGATGTAAAATGACACATCATAGTGCAGGAAAGAAATAGTTGTGGCAGTTTGCCAAAAAAAAAAAAACATTTTAATTTTGGAAAATCAGCACAACCTGCATATTAATTTAGTTAGTTATCTGCTAGCTATCTGCTAGTTATGCACAATGCATGATTTCCAAGAGCAATGTCAAATCGGTTCCTGCGACTGTGTAGTTGTCATTATTTATTTCAAAACAATGTATAATAAAACAACTATTATTAGATTTGGTTTTTGCGATATCCGGAATAATCAAGGTCTGGGTAAGTGTTATCAGCCTCAGCCTTCAGCTCAGATGATAACAATTACCTTGACCTTGATTATTCCAGATATCACAAAAACCTGATCCAATAATTATTGTTCATAATTATGAAATACACAAAAAATTAAGAAGTGGGATAAATAGATAAAAAATTGATAAAGAAAGCAAACAGAGGTCTTTTCAATACAAACTATAATAATATTATTTTATGTGAAGTTAGCAGATCAGAGTGCCCCTTTAATTTTCCTTCAGAGTTCTTTTCTTTATGTGTCAGCTCAAGTAGTGTTTGTCAGGATTGTATTGTAAATAAAATAATAATTATTCTGATTTTAGTTATTTGCACCTTGAATTCTTTGTTTTCCCTTTAGGGAACACACCCCTCCACCTAGCAGTTCTTTTAGGACATAAAGGTATAGTAATAAGTTTTTGTCTTCTTTAGTTTAGTGGATATGTTGTAGGTAAAACTCTGTTCTCAGGTTGCAGCTATAGGTTCTTAAATGAGACTTGTACATGTAAAAGCAATTTCTGGTTCAACCTGAGAATGTATTCTACCTTTAATGGGTAGACAAAAGTTTATTTTATGCAAAAGCAATCTGTATTTAATTATGAGAAACATGACATTCATCTGGGAAAAACATGCCAAAACATACAGTCAAACACGCTTAAAGTGGAGCCCTTTGGGGAATAACCAGCTAGGCACATTTCGCCAGGAGTAACATCTGCCACTCAGCAACAGAAATTTCGTACTGATGACGTAAATAAATGTTTGCATAATAAATTTGGTAGTCATGGGGTTCCAATAATTGTAAACTTGTTTGATTTTTTGTTTCTCCTGGTCAATTAATGTAAAGTTTTGTGTTCTTCTACCAACAAGCTCCAGCAAAACTCAGATGCTTTTTCTAAACAAGAATATATTCCAGGAATATTGACTGTTTTGTAGTAGATTCATCACGTTTACCTTCTACCTTTGTGGCCTTTGTCTTTTGTCTGTCATTTGTAAACAGTAGCTAAAACAATATAACTACCACGTCGACCAATCAGAGCTCCTGACTAGATTCCAGACAGATTTTACATCATCAGTATGGAATTTCTATTGCTGAGTTGCAGACATTCCTCTTGGCGAAACGTCCTTAGCTGTGAGGAGCAAGGAGAAAGGGCTGCATTCGCAGGGTATCCTTGTCTCAAAACAGAAATTTATTACTGAACATTACAGGTTATACACACATTGAAATGGTGTGTGGAAGAAGGCCCTTGAGGATCATAATAAGATTATCCTCTCTTACATTCTCTGTTTGTTTCAGAGAAAACTAATATTACTTTTATTTATGAGGCATTTCAGAAGAATCTTGCAGTTAAAATAAAAGTTACTTTATATTGCAGTGTAGGTAGGACGTTTTTGCATAATACTTACATCTTGTCATGTTTTTGTAGAATGTGTGTATTTATTGCTGGCACATGATGCACCAGTGAAGGTTAAAAACAACTTAGGATGGAGTCCACTTGCCGAAGCAATCAGCTATGGAGATAGGCAAATAAGTAAGTTTAACTACTGTTAGGTTGTTATTCTTTGTTTGACTTCTGTGGTACAGACTGTAGTCCACTAATCCAATGGGAAACAGCCAGTCTCACCTTCTTTTGAGTTTGACCCCGATTTTGACTGTGGTAGGGTTAAGCACTGACTATAGTGTTTCGGGTTAAGCACTGACAATAGTGATTAGGGTGAAGTGCTGAAAAATGTTTAGCTTTCATTTACTATTAGGTTTGTTACCATTATGTAGGTTAATTTAAGTCATGGGGCAAACTCAAGAGGGTTAAATTCAAAGGGGTGCAGAACTGGTACAAATCATCCAATGACCGTGAAAGGCAGTGTGGTTTAGTGGTCAGCACATTGGACTCATAATCTGGTGGGCTGGGGTTTGAGTCTTGCTCTGGCCACCTGCTGGATTAGTTCTTGGTCATCCCAAGTTCAAATCCTAGGCAAATCTTGTAAGTAGCCAACTTCAAGTGTTTGCATTCCACCAGTTGGGGTTTTTTTTCTTGTTATGTTCTATTTGGACTATTTATTTCTAATCATTTGAGTGGAGTCCCTGTAAACTAGCTGGATAAGCTAAGTATAATTTCCACTATTAACAAACCTTCAACCTTATTTTTACCTTTTAATGGCCACTAGTCACTGTGGAAGTATTTCAGTAGTACTTTTGCCAGGCAACAGGTTTTCTCGGTCTTGCAATCTCGGTTCCAGGATTTGATATGCAATTTTTATCTTATTTTCATATGTTATTGCATGCGCAGCTCTCTTGGATACCAAATCTTTGTATCTGAAGGAACTCTACCTTGAAATAACTATCTGTCTGTTTATTAAGTTTTTTTAATTGGAAAGTACCACCCTCTCTGAATAACATTAGTAGTTTACAAGTTTGATTGCTTTTTTTTCTTGTTTGGGCCAGTGATCCCGAGTAGACCTTCTCCGGCCCTGCCTTGAGGTCTAAATCTCCCAATGTGATGTACTGGCTGCATAAATAACACTGTATCTTTCTTATTATCTTTTTTTCTGTCTTTAGTCACTGCATTACTAAAGAAGCTCAAACAACAGTCAAGAGATGCATTAGAAGAAAGGAGACCTCAGCTTACTGCTGCTTTACATGAGGTACATGAAAATGAACTTTTAAGGGTGCTGTGTCGACTACAATGAAACCTGTATAAAGCAACACTTTCAGGAATATCAGTGGTGTCAGTGCAATAGATCTACAGCGTACATTGTATGTCCCATGGAGGAGGCAGTGTGGCCAAGTGGTTGAGCTGTGGACTTGCAATTCAGAGGCCCCAAGTTTAAGTCCCGCTCTGACCACTAGCTAGATTTGTTAACGGCAGTCCCAAGTTCAAATTCTTGACCATGCTTTTAAATAGCCAACTGGTTTGCCAGATAGGATTCTTAACCCTGTTAAGTTCAATTATTTGAATTATTTGTTTCAGGTATTTGCTCAGCCCCACTAGCATTAGTGCTAAAAAATAAATAAATACATGTAACAGAATACTTACTATTGTTACAATTTTTTTTATACTGGTTGTGTTTAAAAGAAAATATGGAAAGACCAGTCTAGGGTGTGATACAACTGTTCACATATCCATGTAATGTAGGGTATCTGGCTTGATGTGTTGTCCACTTCATAGAAGTTTCACTTAAACTTACCTACGCATATGCACATTTCAAAAACACCTTCTGGTGCATGCCTACAAGGAAAAAACTATCCCATATACACTGTATATACATTTGTAAAATCTCTTTCACAAATGAGGACTTGATATGCTGAGTAAAGTACTAGTCTTCATCCCCACTGTCTAGTTTTGTTAGAAGCTTGTTTACTTTTCTCAGTTAAAGCAAATTAAGAAAATGACCATAATATTCTACTACAAATGTATTTTGCATGCTGGTAATATTACTGTATTGAAGTTATTAACACTGCCTTTGAATATTGTTATTTCTCTTTCAGCTTGGTGATTTTTATGTAGAGATCCATTGGGATTTTCAAAGCTGGGGTACAGTATGATTATATAATGTTTGATATATAACATTGAAGGATTTGTAAGCAAATTTCATGTTGTGCCATGTGTTTGTCGATTGCAAAAAATATTTGCTACAAGTAGGTTACTTTCCAGAAAACTGACAAATTTTATCATTTTATTTTTCACAGTGCCACTCTTGTCTAGAATATTGCCTTCAGATGTTTGTAAAGTTTACAAGAAAGGTTGTTCCATAAGGTGAAACATGGTTCTCTGATGCCTGTTCCATGCATGTTTGCATAAAATTTAAGTGTAACCATTCAATTTTAAGACACAGCTCAAAGTGGCTTTAACTTCTGTATGAATGAAACCCTACAGTGTGGCTATAAATAGAAGCGAATGAGCCATACATTCCTATGGTACAGTACTGTTTATTATGTCATCCAAGGTGGTTCTAAATTTTCAGTCTCTGAATGAAATCCTAAAGGGTGACCATTCAAGTGTAAGCTACTGAGCAGTACTTCCCTGTGGTGTTGTTTAATGTTGTCTGCAAATGGGCTCTAACTTTTGAATCTCTGGATGAAATCCTCACGTGTTTGTCATTCAAAGATAATCGGGACACCATGATGAAAACGGCAACAGGAATGTCAAAATAGCAGCAAGTTGAATAGGTCAAACAACAACTCTGCATATGCAACAAACATTTTTGTATATTTCATTGCCCCTAATGCAGAACTACGACATGAAAATACCTAGTTTCTCACTATATCAACAACGTGAACAAGCAATAATTGTAAAGCTTTTCTTCTCTTTCTGAACTTGGGTATGGTTCTTAGGAATTCAACTCCAGAAGAGTTCACTTGCATTTGACAAAATAAGTGATTTGGAATTACTGCGACAGAGTTGGAAAGAACACAAATTCACTTTTTGCGGGATGTTTTTGTGGCCATCACCATCGTAGTATCTTAAACTTCCTAATACCAGTTGCAGTAACAGCACATGCATGTTATAGTCAGCTGTGGCTCTTGTGCTTAGCTTGACAGTGGGAAATCCTCTAGTGTGGCCATATATGAGCTCAATCACTTCCTCCTGTTAAAATAATTGTGATGTGTGTTAAGGCAAGGGAAGCTTTCTTGTTTAATATTGGTGTCACTTACAGTATTATTTTGTTATACCCTCTCAACAGAATGGACAGCACACTAGTGGATTTTACAGATATGAAGTGGCAGCGAGGGGATTTAACTTTTACCTTCAATGGAGATGCTAAAGGTACATGTACAAATACCAGTAGTACGTTAAGAACTATATCAAGCACAATTTGAAAATCATGTATCTTTTTTATGTTACAATACTTACAACACAGACCGTTTAAGTTATTGTACGGCAATAATGCCTTGATCAGCCACAATAGCAATTTAAACATCAATAATTTGATTCATTGACAGAAAATCTGAGAATATTTTCTTTTTTAGACTGTAAGTTCAGACCAATAATTGATCTTAATGGTTTTGCTTTAAAAATGATGCTTAGAATGAACACGTTGAATGCTCGAATTCAAATTTATCAGTAAAAATTCCGAGACTATGAGGCAAGAAAATACCATTGATAAGTAACTTGAGGTTTGAACATTTTTCATCATTGCGATGGTGTATAAGACTATAGGAAATGAAAGATTATTGTCCATTTTTTAAAATAAACATCTTACCCTTTGGATGATCTTGTTTGTTTTTTAACAGGGAAACAATCTTTTGCTGTATTAGACAATGAAAAAAAGGTGTTTCAAAGACTTAGGACAGAGGTGAGTTAAATTAGAAGAAGAAAATGGTGATGCATTGAATCCTCCATGTTTCTGTAAGATAAATGTGCACATATGTTGTAAAAACTAACAACTACCATTAAGTAAAGTATGCATGCATTTTTCACAATGCATGTCAAAAATTAAAACTGACAACTTGGTTTGTGAACACTTGCCCACTCTATGGCTATCATAATTTTTTGACTGGCTGAAAAATGTTGTAAGATATCCTAATTTCTTCGCTATTTTGTCTTTTGACCTAAAAATATTACAGTAGAACCCCAGTGACTCGAACTCTGAAGGGAAACAAAAGACAGTTCGAGTTAGTGGGGAATTCAAGTTATCAGTGTAAATTTCAGTGAAATTTTGATCAAGGGAAAGGAAATTTAGTTCGAGGTAGTGGGGAATTTGAGTTATCCAAATTCGAGTTGTTGAGGTTCTACTGTATTTCCCAGTAACGAGCACGATGACTGGCCAACATTCTTCTAGTACATCTGCCATGCCACTAATTACTGATCTGTGGCAAGAACTTCTTGATATGAGTGTATTCATCATTTGTTTGTTTCTTTCAATGTCAGGACACTGAAGCAGAAATTGAGGAGGAGGTTGACTTGCTAATGAGCAGGTATATTAAGACGTGATTGGGGGATTGTTCCAATAATTGCCTAAGAAATGCATAGACATCTGGACAGTATATATCTCTTACTAAATTTTCAATTTTTTAAATGGTTATATCTTGTTCAATATTGGCCCGATTTACACCACCCTTGTGCTCTTTCTAACTACGTGGGTCTTGCATTACTTATCCCATGATATGCGGATTTGTACCTAGCGCTCCTCAGTTTGAAATAAGCCAATGGTTACTTTTTTGTCTGGAGGACTTTTCATATATTCACTCTTGTCTTCAACGTTGTATTTATAACTGCAACCTCTCTGAAAGGACAACACCCACTAAGACTCATCAAGGCTTTCAAAAAGACCTCTCCACAGTGGTCATTTTATCTGATGTAGTGTGTTGTATACGAAACCCTTTTTGACCCAAAAGTATGAAGCAGGCACAAATCTGCTCCAGGCACCAGTGGGTTGTGCAGCTCTTTACTCACTTTGTTTTGGCAACATTTTTTGGTTATGAAAATTTGTTGTTGATTTGATTAAAATAGTTTGGTTTACAGACTTGTGTCCTTCAATTTATAAATCATTGACACTTACTCACTTGCCACAGTATATTGACACCACACAAAATGTAGCCTGCAGAACAGGTGTTGGTTTTTGGCATTTTTCAGGTGAGCAAAGGCAAGTGCGAAGCAAACAAAGAACGCAAGACATGCGTAACAGGATAAGGTGGAGAATGGTTGGTCATTTGGTTGTGTCTGGAGACACAATCAGACAAACAATGATGTGTGGACAGCCGTTATTTTTTTGCGCCTTCCCCGTTCTACCCCCTCTTTATGCTTTGTTTGCCTGCAAAATGTGAAAGAAAAGCTCCTGTTCGGCCGGCTACATATAATGAGCATTTTTTAGAACGTTTTGTACCCCACCAAATGAATTGGGCGCATTTTACACCCCGACCCTATAGTGGCCACTTCTCTAGAGAGTCTTGTTATCTCTTTCTCCAAGTTAGATGTTATGGAGAGGTCTTGACTGTTTGACTATCATCTTTTGCAGTGACATTGTTGCAGCAATGATGTCTACCAAACCAATTACTTTTAGTAGATCACAAGCTGGCTGGATCTGGCATACTGATAGAACAGTGGGTATTAACTCTCTTGGAAATTTTACTTGTATGAATGACCCAAAAATCTATTAATTTTCCTCCAAAATTAATGAAAATTAATGGCACCATGTTGATATTCTTAAGAGGTTTCATTTGAATGGTCACACCATAGGATTTCATCCACAGCCTCAAAAGTTAGAACTACATACTAAATAAATATTACCATGTGAAAGTACTACTGAAGAGGATTCATTTGAATGGTCACACCATAGGATTTTATCCACAGACTCAAAAGTTACAACTACATACTAAACAAATAGTACCATGTGAAAGTACTGCTGAAGAGGTTTCATTTGAATGGTAACACACCATAGGATTTCATCCGGCACAGACTCAAAACGTAAAACTACGTGCAAAACAAATAGCACCATGTGCACGGATTTGCCTTTCGTTTACACAGGACCCGCGTAGTAACCGTACATGTTTTTGGATGGCAAAGTTTGCAAGTTTAGTAAGCCAAAATGTTTTACCAGTACATTTCCACTTTTGCGTGGACTCGTGTAAACACCTGAACCATGCACAGTTTGTGCAGTAAAAGCCCAGAGCCTAGTTACGCTCCTTTGATTAACAAAAAGTAGCCATTTCAATGCTGACACTGGCAAAAGCTAATGTTTCCAAGGAATTTGATTCATTTGCTTATTTTTGGCTTGATTTAGGAAATGATTGGCCCTTACCTTTCTGAAGTGTACTCCATTAATGGAATGATGCTTATCTCAAGAAAACGGTAATTTGGACTCTCTGTTTTTCCAATTTTTCTACAATTTTTAATATAATTTTTTAATATTTTACTGTGCTTAGTTATCTGCATGTTTATGACCTGTACTCTGTCAAATTATAGACGTGAGCACCTCACAGAGGAGGATGTGGTCAAGAATAAGGTTTGTTGTTTTGTTTTGTTTTTGTTCAGTTTTTTCTTAGACTTCACACTTTTAACCCCCAATGGTGACTGAAACCAAATTTCTCCTTGTAATCTGGGGTGGGGCACTCCCCCACTCGGTAAGATGGATTTCCACAGTCGCGTTTTTATGTACGCGTTACGCGCGTAAATAAAAAAAGAGGCATTGTATAGAAGGTCGCGCGTAAACGTTTAAGTTGAGCCTCGCTCAACTTTTGCGTTTACGCGCTGCAGCACGTAAAAATTACGCGACCGTGGAAATCCACCCTTATGGAACTGAGCAGAGTCCAGAGTCATAAGGAAAATTCTTGTTCATCAACGATTTACTTTCCCTTGACAGGCGCTGATTGACACCCTCAGCAAAGGAAATGGCAACATTATGGACAGCTTGCCGGAGGTTGGAGAACTGTATACAGTAACTTAACAATAGAGTGATTTTCATATGACCTTGAAAAATGGTTTCAGTAAGTGTTCGTTATTTGTTTTATCAGCCAATGGATGAAAAGATCAAAAAATGGACTCCTCGTTTTCCCGCCAAAGAAAACCCTGATATGGAGAAGGCATTGTTCGATTGGCCAATCGTGTTGCAGTATGACGTCAAAGCGAAGTATCGACTGATTTTAAGAAAGTTCTCGGGCAAGAAGTTTTTTCATCTGAGCCTTCGCTAAGCCGACCAAAAGCCTCGTGCCTTTGTATCCGTTCGATAAACCAATCAAATTACTCTCTTTCCGTTCGTTTGTTTTTTCTGTTTTGTTTGCTCGTTTTCATTTCAAGGTCATACGAAAATCGCTCTATTTAAGGGTGACTCACAACTTAGCTTAGACTGTTCACTAGAAAATGAGAGGAAAGGTGGCATACTGGTGGAGAACTCGCCTGCCACCAATTTGTCACAAGGGTTCAAATCCCGGCGTCGAACGCCATATGTGGGTTGAGTTTGTTGGTGGTTCTCTCCTTTGCTCCGAGACGTTTTTCTACGGTTACTCTGGTTTTCCCCTCTTTTCAAAAATCCAGCATTCCCAAATTCCAGTTCGATCAGGAATGAGATCGACGAAAAACCACTACGTGGATGTGCTACCTGTCAGAACCAGAACTCCATTTTCTCGTGTTTCCATTTCAGACTACACGGCGAAATTCACTTCTTCCACCGCCCAAAACGGATCTAACCTGGGATGAATATCTGCTGTATGACTCTGAAAGGTAATGGTGCAAACTTTGTAGAACTACCTAGCCCTTTACGCAACTTAGAAGGATCGCGGATGGGGACACGTATGCTTGTTCAGCTCTGTATGTATGTCGGTATTTCTTTCTTGTATTAGTTTTGGAATTGTCATTGCTATTGCACTTTCAATCCAACTTTGCGTCGTGTATCGCCATTTCATCTGTTTTATATCGCTGTTTCAAGTCCCTGTAGCGTGTTGGAGTTCACCCTAACGGGGTCTTCCTTATTGTTTGCTTCATCACAGTCCCCTATTTTTCCGTAAGGTCGTCGAGCGCTTTGCGTTAAGGGCAGCCATCTTGGATGAGTAGTTTTGACACTGAACCAAGATGGCTGCCCGTAACAAGAAGCGCTGGATCTCGACGATCTTACGGAAAAATAGCGGACTGTGAACAGTCTGCCCTTCTCGTAGCCTGTGTACCAGGCATAAATGGACAGGGGAGGGGGACAGGCGAATCGGGGAACTTTGAAGAAAGAAAGGGTCCAGGAGCACCTTTGATAAAACTCCCGGCATATTTGTCTGCCTTAAAGTTTTTATTGATGGGACCTCAGTATATTATTGATGAATGACAGTAAAACAGTGCACAATAGTAGGAGCACGGAGGCAGTGGGACAAATCTTTCACGGCGGGTGAAAGCGTGGGCTGACTTACAGTGCGACCACAATAACCGGGGCCACTTAGACAAAGTTGACCAATCAGGTTACAGGAAAATAACAGTACATTCCAAAAAAAAAAGTTGGTTGTGGGCCAATCAGCAACTCGTAAAAAAAAAAAAAGTTACTCGAAGCACAAAATTTAAATATTGATAGCAAACGTTTTTCAAGAAAGGAAAATGTTTCACCAGTCAATGTTTTTCTCTTTGAAACTTTACATATAACACACAGGAAACATATTTGTTTATCACAAGCTGTTATTTTGTCATCTACCCGCAATTTCGTCGCTACCATTGCCACACTTTGCAATAATCATGCAACCTCAAGTCAAAAATGTGACTATAACGTTTACATTTTTCGCCTCCGTCAACACTCTAACGGACCTCTCAGGAAACATAGGCTTTCTTCAGCTGGTTTAACGGGTCACGTCTGTAGGTTTCGATCCATGTTGTTGATTTCGTTCCGTGGTAATTATGATTGACAACTAACTTTCTTGGAATGTATTGTTATTTTCCTGTCATCCAATCGGTCAACTTTGTCCAGGTAGCCTTGGTTATAGTAGTCGCACTGTAATTGGAAGGGCACTGTTCTGTAAATCCCAGCCAGGACTTTTGTCCTGTGAACAGCTTCTAGACCTCAGTGTGGCCCTAAGGAACATGTTGAAATGGAGGTTTTGTTTTCTAAAGGACGAAAACAGTGCTCTCAAAACCTGTTCGTTTGCCCGCAGAAGTTTCCAATGCACTTCCTTTTTGACGGATTAATACCTCAATGTCTTTAAGCAAACTTCTAAGCATAGATTGAACTACAGCTGCTTGACCTCCGAAGTTCCTTAACAAGTCAAGGTACTTTGCTGACCACCCCACCCACCCCTCCCTATCTACACTTGTTATATATGCTGAACTTGTCCATTAATTCTTAATGTACTTTACTTCATTCACAGGCTGCCGCATATTGGTCGGCCGATGAAACTCAAAGAAGACAAGAAAAGTGTAAAATGCCATGTCGCAATGGTAATCTAGATTGATTTTTTTTTTCTTTTATCACACTGTGATCTTATGTCAGATTCTTTATTGGTATCACTGTGCTTTTAATTAGTAACTGATGTTCTCTTTGTTTCACAGAGTGAGGAGTTTCCGCTTTCCGTTGACTTGTAAGTTCTTGCATTTATTTATTTGTGTATTTTTTTTTGCGTTGTATCATGTGTAAATTAACGTTTCATGGTCACCTCTGTCATGGGAAAAACCGGCGCGTCCACAGTTTTAGAAAAGCTTCACTACCGAATTGTATGCTAACAGTCCAACCTCCATATGCGACTACCTCTCGTAAGCGACCTACTCCCATAGGCGACCACCTATTCCTAGTCAAAGCCCAATGGTTAGATCCTCTCGTAAGCGACTGCGCCGTGACAACTTTTTGTGCTGATGGTTTTATAATTTTCCATTGTTTTTGACGTCTTGTAAGCCACTCACAGTATTCGAATAACTTTCAGCGACAATATGGAACTACACATACCGTAACTTAGAAATTGCATGCAATAAGTTCTCGTCCAGAAAGGAAATGTCTCGTGACCTCTTCTCGGAAGCGACCTCCAGTCGCTTCTGGTAAGCAACCACCTCCCTTAAGCGACCACTGTATCTTCGCATGTTGGGAGGTTGACTTAATACGGGAGCTGCGTGGCACGTGCGTGGTAGGCGTTTGAAAGGGATTCCTTCTCCCTCGTACGCGGTCTCGCGCCCAGATTCCCTTTTCCTTCTCTTACAAACGCCTGCCTCGCAGACTATTCAACCGTAGGTAGAATAACAATTCTTTATTATTTTCCTTCTCTCCAGAATCCTTAAAGTGTTAGAGGTTGTTGCTCCATTCAAGCATTTTAACAAGTTAAAAGAGTTTGTAGCCATGAAACTGCCCGCTGGTTTTCCTGTCAGAATAGGTTTGTGTAATTGTTGTTACCATAAATATCTCGTGTCTCTCTGCACAACACCCCCACCCCCACTCCTCACCCTGTCCTTCCCCTCCCCCTTGGTAAGATGTTCGGCGCTAACCGTGAGACCTGTTGAAAGTTTTCCTTCTGAAAGTGTCACAGTGCTTTAAGTTGATCAGGGGTGTTATCGTAGTATATCAAACTTATAACAGATACCCTTAGATACTAAGACGAGGACGAGATTGTCTCAATATTAAGTAGTGCGCGCGTGAACGAGAGAGTTACTTTGGCGGGAAAACGTGGTCGCCGTCGTCATTCTACTACGGATTATAACGAGAATGAGAGGCGGAAACAAGTTATTAAATTTTAGAGGTTTTATCATTATGCGATCAGGAGAAGGGGGCTTAACCTCCTTCAAAAACAACAACCGTGCTAATTTTCCTGTGAAAAAAAAGTGCAACAAAGCTTTCAGGAAAGTCTATTTTTTGGAGATTACTCGAAAAAATTAAGTTAAATTTTGTCCTTGTAGTGGTCAGCATCCTCGCCTTTTCCATTAACGGGTGTTAGTCTAGAGAGATCGCCCTAACCCAGTCCCAAAGACTTTGCTTGCAGACAGAGACTAATGTGTTGTTTCTTCCGACAGAGATCCCTGTTTTTCCCACCATAACCGCGCGAGTGACATTCCAGGACTTTAAATCATGTGATAACATTCCTTCTTCTATGTTCTTTATACCACGAGATTACAAGGTCAGTCGTTTAGATTCCCTTTTAGGTAAAAAGTAGATCAATAATCATTTTACTTATCTTAGAAATCGTCATCATGTTACGGTTGTTTTTTGCCCTTTTGACTTCTTTTTTAAGTCCGTAAAAAATGAGATGAAACTTGGCATTTGATCAGGCTATTAAAATCCTCTAAACAATTTTGTTTACTATGCTGAACAAGGTGGTTCTGATTTTGGTCTGTAGATGAAATCCTCTAGTTAAAAGCTCATAGCTTAAGCAGTAATTTCCTGTGGTATTGTTTATTACGCTTTACAATGTGGTTATGACGTTTGAGTTTGTTGATGAAATCCTGAAGGGCGACCATTCAAATAAAAGCTACTGCTGAACAGTACTATCTCGCGTGCTGACATATAAAATGCTGTTCAAATGCTGGCTTTCAAGGTTTCCTAGGCAATTCTAGCTATTCTTCTCAAGAGCTTAGTTTGTTCTTCAATACTCTAGAGTTCGTTCTGTCTTTGGAGTGACAAATATTTCATTCTTCCAGGCAAAACTTGACTACGCCACTTTATTTAAGACCCTTGACCCACGGATTTAAAAAGTGTTCATATTTGTTTGTACCTTGCTCCGCCGCCAAGTTCCGTAATTTAATTAAGAATGAAACCTTAAGTGTTTTGATCAAGTTGACTGCTTTCACGGGCATTTATAGTCAATTGCATAGTAGGGTGTAAAAAGGCCCCATTTTACTCATTTGGCAGAGTTTGTTTACTTCCGATTTTTCTTTGTGCTTGAGTTATTGCATTGTTTTTTGAAATGCGTTATTAGCTGCTGTTATTTCCGCGAGTGGTCAAATATTTTTTAAAACCACGAAGACCTTTACAAGACCAATCTTCCGTTATTATGACAAAGGACAAAGGTTGTACCTCAAATGTGCCGATCTAGGCATTTCCAGACGATGTCACAATTTTTCCATTAACTGTTTTCATTGCCATTTACAGTCAACTGAATAGGAGAAGCTGAAAAGGGCCATTTTCCCTCGTTTGGCACAGTTTGTTTACTCCCGATTTTTCTTTGCGCTTTGGTTTTGCATTATTGCTCTAAATTTGTTGCTGGCTGTTGTTATTTCCGCGAGTCTGCGAATAATTTTAGTACCATAAAGATCTTAACAAAACCGATCTTCCGCGATCCGTTATTATGACAAAGGACAAAGATTATACCTCAAGAATGCCCATCTAGGCGTTGCCAGACAAAAGAAAAATAGTTAATGAGGGCATGTGATTACTACATTAGTTATGGACTTAGCACAGGAAAGAGCCGTGACGAATTATTGTCTGGGAACGATTCCAAGCTGGTTGTTTTCCCCAACTTAAGTGCATTTTCTGGAAGTAATCGGAACCGGCTGTTTATCTTCACACTGTGGAAACCTAGCTGGCGCGAATTGCGGAACGACGGCGGCAGTTTAATTGAGTGAAACAACAACTCTGTACGTGCGTCACGTTTTGAGAACATTTCTTTGCCGTCGTCGTGTGAGAGCGGAAGTGGGCCGTGATTTTTGTGTTTTCAAATGAACCCCTAATAATATAATAGGACCTAATAACGAAAAAAGACATTAGTAAGAAAAGATGATGAAGATGATATGATGATTGGTGGTGGTGGTGGTAGTGGTAGTGGTAGTGATGAAGATGATATGGTGATGGATGGTGGTGGTGGTGGTGGTGGTGGTGGTGGTGGTAGTGGTAGTGATGAAGATGATATGGTGATGGATGGTGGTGGTGGTGGTGGTAGTTGTAGTAATGAAGATGATGTGATGATGTTCATGACGACAACGATGACGACGACGAAAGGCAGTAGAGAGATTTGTGGGAGGGGGGAGGAGAAGGACGACCGGCGATGAACGTTACAAACATTACTAAATTACAGTTTTTCTATTTCTTCCAGGAGGATCCCAATCGCTTCCCTGATTTGTAGCTGTTTGTATCACCTTCCAACTGATGCCACAAGAGGCATGACTTCCTTTAGAAAAAAATCCATTTATTGGCGTTATTTATGTCTTGCCTTTGTGCACAAGATGTGTAGAGTCAAGCAAAAGATATGCAGTTTTAGTCACCAATATAAACCTGTCGGTTTAGTTATACTCTACTGAAAATATTCATCTTTCCTTGAAAGGCCGGTATTACCAAAAAGCGGTGACCGAAGGAGGTAAAGTTGTCAAACATAGTTTTTACAGGATGCTTTATTGATGATCTTACTATTGTTCTGTTGTACAAGACAAGGCGTTATTTTATTTGTAGTTTTTTTTTTCCGTTGGCATCCTTTTAACTTTAAATCACATTGCTTCTTGCTAAAATGTGCTCTTCACTGTTATTGTGGAAGTATAAGACCATGTGTCGAAACGTTTTAATAAGATGATTCTATTTTTCCAGTCTACATCAAAAGGGAGTCATATGGGGAACTTATTTAGGATAATTAGAGCGTTTCAACGTGGTAGCAGACAGTTATGAGGCTTTCAGTAATTTTAGAGAACTATAATTTGACCAGTTTTCAGGAATTTAGGGCGTACCACTTGCAAACAGATATGTGCCTTGTTTCGTAATATTTTAGGTTTCAAAGTTTAGAATTGTTAAGATTTCGGCTGTGGATAATAAATTGCTTTACGTTATAGCTTAGTTTTATGAGGGAAATAATATATTTATCCAGTTTTAACGTGTAATTAAGGGCAAAGGGGGCTATGTCACAAGGATATCGCGGTTTTTGCTCCATTCTGTGCTAAAGTCATTAGCTAGTTCCTTTAACGATACACAAAATTCTCCTGGAAAGTTATGAAGAAGATATCAAACAGATTTAATGAGGGAGCACTAATTATCATAAGTTTTTGGTGTATTTTGCGGGCATAGCAGCATTAAAATATGAAAAAATAGACCTAATTTGTCAAGTTTCACTCCATGTCTATCCGTGGCAACAGAGAACAAGAAACCGTTTCAATGTCCAAATATAGTCTTGAGTAACAAAACTGGAACATTCTTTTTGGAATTCAATTGATGGGAAAACATGTTTTAGCTTTCTGAAAAGATAGTAAGTAGTGTGACATAGCCTCTTTACGTCCTTTTTAACATGTTTAGGTATCGTGGGAATTATGGAATATGCTTGTGTATAGTAAAACAACTGAAGTAGTTCCCTGTCGGCTCATCTGAATTCGAATGCTTCAGTGTGTACGATAATCTAGCTTGTATTTATTAAATTTTATTTTATATAAAACGCGTTTATGTTGCGTAGCTGAGTAAGTTATTGAACGGACGAATTTACCTTTATTTAAGGCTTTGTTAGTTCACGCTTTGGGTTGTCTTCATTTGAACTAGGTTGGTTTTGTACTCTAGTCTGTGTTCAAAGTTCGACCTGTAAAATAACGTATTTTTATAATGTATTGTAACAGGGGTTAACTCCCAGAGTTAATGTACTTTGTTCGGAGGCAGATCACTGATTAAATATAAGGGTTTTCGGTAAACGCGTTTGCTTGACTTGTGTATTTTGGTTAATATTTTTCTTGTTTACCCATGAAGCAGACTCGTACCCAGTGAAAAAATATTTCCTTCGTCCCTTTCCATGAGTCCCCGCGCGCCTCAACTTAGCCCCAGTCTTCTCTCATAAATAACACATAAATAGCGACTGGGTACGAGTCTGCCCCTGCAGCACTTAAGGGTTGTTAAGAACTCGTTTAAACGTGTTCGTTCGTTCCAGAACAAATTGGAATCTTTGAGGGGAAGGGAAAACTAGTGTACCCAGAAAAAAACATTTCGCAGCAAGGGAGAGAACCAACAACAAACTCCGCCCACATATGGCGTCGCCGGAAAATTTACCTTTCGTAAACGGTCGCTGCCATTTTTACGACTCTTAAGAAATGTTTGACCAGTTATTGAGAGTGTTGCTATTATAAAATAAGAAAGAAGATCGCAACGCAGAGTCTTATCCAGACCTATCGTGTCCTAATCTCCCTCCCTTACCACTACACTACCACACCGACCCACCAAAATTCCGAAAAAAAACACTAGCAAAATGTCTTTCTTGACTGGTACATCAATAAAAGGTGACCCTAGCCCTTTCCATAACTTTTGAAACGCAGCCTGCGTGGCAGGCGCATATTTATGTTACTTGGGCTTCAACGTCGCTCTTCCTCAGACTATTTTAAAACGTATTATTTACCTTATGGTAACTTATAATCCTGGGATACCATAAACTTCCGATTACACCCCCCCCACCTCCCCCCCCCCCCCACCCCCCCCTTCCCCCGCCCCCCCCCACCCCCCCCTCCCATCCTCCCCTACCCACCTCCCCCCCCCCCCCCCCCACCCCACAAACCACTCATCCACCCCTCTCACACCCTAAATCATCGTTTTACAGTTATTGTGTCCTGTTCAGGTGTTTGTAGGTTCGCTGACCGACAACCTACTGTGCACTGCCCCCCCCCACCCCTCCCCAATTGATAGCGCCCTACCGCGGTGAAACCAAAAAAAAAGTGGGGTAGCCCCCCCCCGCGCCCCCCCCCCCCAAAAAAAAAAGACAAACCCCCTCTACCTTGTATTGAAATGAATTCGATTAGCTCTTTACGACGTTTAAGCGGTTAAAAAAGCGATCAAATTTTAAAAAGTATTTTTATCAGCAGTGCTATGTAGCTTGCTTTGAAACACTTTTTGGTCTGATTATAAGGCCCCCGGTTTCTAAGCCCGCCTAAAACGTTAACCCCTTACGAAGTTGTATAAGCTTACAATCGGAAGTTTACGGTATATCACATCTATCATGTCTACAGGCTTGATTACCAATGGTGGTATCGACCGTTAGCGAAAGGGAAGTAGCTGCACATTGGAGGAAGGCGAGTGCTCTCACTACTGCGCCACCCTCGCTCCCGTCAGTACGATATATTCCTGGTCATTTTGGGTGACCTACGAGGCTGGCGAGATCAGAATGGGTTAGCGCTTTTTGTTCAAATTTTTCGCTTTGACTCCCATGTCTCATTCTTCTCCCGGCTTTACAGCTAA